GCTAAAAGCCACCAACATTCATCATGGCTTTAAGGCTATCATACTCTAATCTGTCTGGGATTTCATGTGTGTTAACATACTTACAAATGCAGAGAGCAAACACTTCAACAGCACTACATAAATGTCTCAATATATTAACTAGACAATAAACAACCTATTCAATTCGAGGGATTTGCATGAGAAACGTGAGCATTAGGGAACAGAGACAAGTCTTCTGCCTTTCTGCCGAGGGAGCGGATGGCTTCAAACATGATCCTTTGTCAGACGGGATGCGAGACACAGACACACAAGCCTCTCCTCGCTTTTGGCACATCGAGGCTCACAATGCTATAGATTAGTAGCAGCCTGACCACAGAGCTGCAGTAAGCTAATTGCTTAATTAGCTGACCCAATTCTATAAGCTTCTTTGGGCATATTAACATGAGCTATGATACAAATACTTGTGTTTCACAGAGGTGGTGTTTGTTTATGGAATTACATTAATGAGGATCAAATACAAAACATACGGTCAATGGCACTCCTTTTATGGAATTTTCAGCTTTAGAAAATAGAGCATTGTTTTATTGAAGTGCTTTAATGTCCTTAAAACTCGATAAAGCCTCGTCTGATCTACATGCAAAATTGCTGCTATGAAATTGGCATCGGTTTTATACCTGCCACCCTTCTATGTTTTTCTGTGCATGCTTTTTTTTTTTTATTTCTGATTTTTTTTTTTTTTTTTAAACAATTAAGCTGCTTTGGGGAATAGTTTGACCGCCCTCTCAATATTTCCGGACATTTGAGCAACGACGGTCAAGCGAGAGAGAGAGAGAGGGAGAGAGAAAAAAAATCTTATTAGATTGAATGATGATTGAAACGGATTTACATTTCCTGCATGCATACTTTACATACATGATCTTTGCTCAGCACAGGGAGTTGTGGGCAAAAGAGCACTATTTGTATGAGATGAACTCATCTATATGCTAATTCATTGGCATGTAGACCTGCTTCATTTCTTCCATTCATGACTGTTTACCTATTAGCTCTTATAGATGCAAAGGGAATTGGAATATTAAAAACCAAAATGCTAAGGAATACAGAGCATTAGCAGTACATCACCTGTTATTATATTTATATTACAGCGGCATTCTTGCCCTTTGTTTAAGCTGTAACCAAAAGCCAACTTCCGAGACACTTATTACAAATAAAATAAGCCAACTCTGTCTCTAAAGTGAGACTTGTTGCCCCCGACAAAGGCATTGTGGGTTTTAAACAGGGCCTTCAAAGGACTGGAGCACACTTCACCATGCTCGATCTTTGCTGATTCAAACGAGGACGGATCTGATGCTAACAGACAGGAAACAACTTTAAACATTTCACAATGTTCTTTTGTGACCCGGAATACAATTTATAACATTTGTGGAGCACACAAAACCTGACTTAAATGCTGCAAAGTAAAAGCCATCTTGGCCTTATGCGGAGATGTTTGACAGATCAAGTTACAAGTGATGCCTAAATGCTAATGTAATTTCATATGAACCAAGCTGAAAGAGATGCAATCAGCCATTCCCGATTCAGGCGACTGTTGTGTTTAAGAGGATGACAAACCCCTCTCTTATTGTCTATGTAATTCACCAAAATTGCCACTTACAGCCGCTAAGAGCAGGACGTTTCATCTCCAAGCTTCCTCTGGTCTTTGCTACTCATCCCATTTCTGCTTCCTCCAAAAGTGCCACCACTTCATTAACCTTGCCAGGCATGAGATAAGAGAGGCAGTGCATCAAAGCTGCCTGCCCACAGAGAGAACAGAGCCCTGCATGTCTCCACTACACAGCAGCCATCACACACACTGGCAGAAACGCAGAAACACAGTCCACAACCCATCCGACGTGCAGAAAAGACCTTTTGTGTTGCAAACTGTCATTCAGGAATGTTTTTTTTTTTTTCTTCTCTCTTTGTGCACAGGACATCATCATGTTTTAAATATAATTCTAAGTGGGGTGAAAACATTCGCTCGTTCCAAAGGTTTTAAGGAAGTTTGATAGGAAATGAAGCAATGTAATTGGTCTGGGTTAGACTCTTTATTGCCTCGGAGCCTGCAGACACTTATTTAAGGTGTCTCATAGCACTGTTAGAAGAGGAGCTGAGGACCACAGGGCTGTCATCACTATGACCTACACTCGTAAAAACCTTAAAAAATGAGAAAATTAAACAAGAAAAGCATCAAAGCCAACTTCAGCGCGATGAGTAACAGCTCCTGACTTTCCTCAAAGCATGAAAGTAGATGGTAGAAAATGTATTAACTGAGTCACAATATTGTTTTACTTGCACTACATACAAATCTCTCTGGTGCATTTAATCCCTCTACCCACAGTTTCTGAGAAAGGAGGATATAAATTATTTTCCTTTGGTGGAAACTGCAAATCCCTGTCTGGATTCTGTTAAAAGGCTTAAAATGTCACTAAATGCCAAGGCTGAGACTCCTGCTAACACGCAGGTCTTTAAGACAAGATGTTAAAGCGCTGAAAGTTACCTGAAATTGATGAGGTTAATATTCTTATCACAATTTGAGGCTTCTGTGAAAGTGGATATTGAAAATAGCCAGGTAACCCTTAATATAAGAGGCTATCATAAGGATTAGTAGCATAAACAGCAATTACACATTTAATTGTTTATTGTCAGTAGAATTTGGAAAACACGCTGCTTGACGTGCACAAATTAAAAAGGATTTGGATGTAAAAGGGGTATTTGCCACAATATAGTATTATAATAAATATGTATTACAGTAAAGGAGACAAGGAAATGTTTAAGATAAAACACATTTGGAAGCTGAATGTCAGGCTGTAAATGAGTAATTTACCATGAATATCCTTCTCTATCCCTTTACGGTCATATGAATTCCTGAACCACGTTACACCATGGAAGGGTCTGTCAGTGAAATTTAAAATAGAGGACAAAGGGCCAAAGAGCAAATAGGTTTTTTTTAGACATCTTCCTCTGAGTTTTCTGCCAATGTGAATCAGAGGTAAAATACAGTGCATTAAGTCGACCTCTGAGGCAGCACACAGGAGGGTAGAGTGAGACATTCTGCTATCTATTAAGACTTGCCTTATGTATATATTGTGTTTTGAAGGAATTTTACTGATCCACAAAACCAGCGGGAAAGGATAAGAGTGAGTCCCTAAGACCATGTGGTAAGCAACTGCAGTGCAGAATCTCAGGCAAGTTGAAAGTTGCTGTGCCGTTCAGGAGAAAAGTCTGGCAGAATCCTGCATGCCCGCTGATAACATGGTTGGATTAAGGATGTTTAAGGGAAGTGAAAATTATTCATTTGAGATGGATGAAAGCTGCACTTGTCAAGTCTACCAGTCATGCACTTTATACATTTCATTTCCACTAGCCAGCATGCATAATTTCCCCTCAATGCAAATTTCTACACACTGAAAATTGTAAGCATATTTACCCCGCTCCCTTAACACACTTTCTGACACAGAAAATGGATCATCTCCGTTGAACAGGGGGAATAAAAAACAATGCTGTTTTGTTTGCAGAGGTTTGAGAATCTAATTTTGTGCAGGGAAATAAAGTCACAAGACCCTGCAGAATGCAAGCAATCGCTTTCACTTTAAATCATGCCTGAATCAAAAAAAAAAAAAAAAGTGTTTTCCTGCTCGTCAGGATGGAAATAATTTCAGCACATGCCTAATTATCTCACAGACATTGTGTTTTGATTGTAATTACTAGTTTTAAGTCACAAAGTCTCGGCCTCAGTGTAAGGTCTAGGAGCCATTTAGCTGAGTATGTCCTGTATATCCGTCTCTCTGTACAAATATTATGATCTCTCTGATGAGAATTAAGTCTCCAGCCTGGATGGCCAATAAATTAGAGGCACGCTTCTCGTTTACTCATCAGAGCTAATGAGCCTGATAAAATTACCTCGAGGATCATAATTACAGGCTAGTGGCAGAGACTCTAGCTGAGACTGGAATAAGAACACACACACACTCACACACAAATGAGATTGTGCTGTAAGTGGCAGGATACTAGAACATAACAGAGAAATATCAATGTGCACAAGCAAAGATTATACATTGTGTGTTTTCATTCAGACAATTCAGCAAATGGCACAAAGGAAACTCTCCTGTTTGACATCATGTTTAAGAATGTACATAATGTAAGGTGCAGGACAATGTTACAATTTCCACCTTTCTGTCAGAGCAGTTCAAACTGATTTTTTACCACCCTTTCATAAAGATTAAGCACTTCATGGGTAATGGCATATTTTAATGAACGATGGCAGCCTGGACACAAGAGCTCACCTCAGAGGGATTCCATTTCATCACACGTTCACAGGATGAATTGTTTTACTTATGAATATTAATGTCCCTCTAATTTGAGGCTGTTGTTAATGCTTGTCGCTAGGAGCTCGGCAAATCAGGTCCCATTCCTGTTAAAACCATGTATTAGACACCCCCCTGACACTAAGCCCTCGCCTTTGATTCTTAATTGCAGAAGTGCAAGCATTCGCAGTAGATGGGGCGCAAAGCTTTAATTAACTCTAATATCACACATTCGGTCTCGACTGTCAGCCACATCACGCATGGCATTTTTTGTACCAATACCATCCCCAACTCTGCTCAGCTAGAAAGATCGTGTTTCAAGTTCATGATCACAATTTCATGCATCTCAAAATGAGGGATGTGTAGCTTTTTAAGTCGCCGTAATATATTGATGACAGTGAAAATCTTGTTGCCTTCTCTTACAAAAAAAAAAAAAAAAAAAAAAAAACCTTATTAAAAGCATGCATTGATGCAGCTCTGTGATTTCTACACAGCTTTCACGCAAAGGAGTCGCAGCATTGTTGGTATTCTCCACTAAAAGCAGCGTCTGATCTTGAATCAACAGTCAATCGGTGGAGCTTGTAGCACGAGGAGTGGAGTTATGGAAAGTTCAGGGAGGTGTTTAAAATAGAAAGATGTGTGCCAAAAGAAGCTGTTATTAAGTAAATAATTCAAGCACACTCATCTTCTAAGGATTTATTGAAGAGATTTCAAGTTGAAAAATGCTATAAATACAGATCAAGCACATACCATTCAATAATAACTAAAAGTCAACTCTTCCTCAGTTCACTCCCTGGAAACACTCTGGATGCCATTTTCACGCACCAGTGACTCCACACGTCCTTTAAACATTTAATAGTGCAGGTACGGAGAATTTCTGATGCAGATATTAGTAAAGAGTAGTGTTTAATTAAAGCCAGTTTGAAGATAAAGAGCTCAATACAACCTATAGTTTATAAGCCTTCCCCGGCCATAAGCTACTGCTCTACCTAATCCTCTTTCACATAACATTATTGCATCAGCACAGCCGAACATTTTTGAAGCATTTATAAAATTAGCAAAGAAATTAACTGTCCGCACTGTGGCAAATTGGATTTCAAAGTTCCTGCCGTGTTATACAGCATACCCAGGCTGCCACCTACAGTACAGCGTGGGAGAGGAGCGGCAGTCTCTCTCCCCCTCTCTCTGCAGCGAGCCGGTTCAACATGTGTGGCTCTTCATTTTACACTCCACAGTCATTCTAACTTAATTGTCAAGGCCCTTTTTTCTCCTGCTAATATCCTTACAGGAAATTTGTTAAAATCCATTATTAAATAAAAACTGAAATAATTTCATTTTGGATCCCGACTGTTGAAGGATTACACGTCTATTGTTCTCGTTCCCATTTGCACGAAGAGGAAGTCGCTGTTTCCACTGGAATTTGTCAGTTGTTATAGTTCTGGTTTCTAACTCAAAATGAACTCTTTTCTGGACCCCAAGTGTAGGCTGATTTGAAATCACATTCAAATGTTTCAATAAATCTATCTTTACATTTAGAACATATCCATGAATGGTGACTCATATGTTACTCTTTTACTGCAGTCTACATCATATCAGGGAAACACTCTCAGTTTATGAACTCATGAAAGTGTTTACTAAAATAAACACGTTCTAAAATCTGTTGTTGAAAAGAGTGAATCATGGGAAATGTAAAAACAGTAAGCAGAGAGCTAAGAATACTGAACAGGAAAAAAACATTTTAAAAGAACCTTCAATTTCAAATATTTCAACATAATGGAAACAATACATTATTTCATCATCATTTGACATTTTTTTTCTTTTCATTTACACACTTCAGGTACTTCGGTATCAAAATATAAAAACCTTGATTTTTCAAAAGCATGAACAATAACACAGTAAGTGTTAGCAAGAAAAAAACTGTGCTGAACATCATTCCACTCGTCTTTTACTTCTTCTCCTGAACATTTTAGAGATGGAGGATTTCCTTTTGTTTTTGGCTTTTTTTACACCTATTTACCAAAAACACACACACACACTGAATATTAGAACGATGCGTTCAAGTTAGAAAATAACGTCTAACAAGCGTTACAGGTAATACTTACCGAGATTTTTCATCATTTCATTCAACTGCTGATCCTCTTCCACTTCCCTGAAATGGATCAAAAACACATCTCAAGTTATTAAGAGCTATCACATAACCAGTGTTACATTTATTATCACTTCTCCATCTCAAAACCAACACAAGCTGGATTGTGTTACCGGCGCCTGTCTTCATCAAGACCCTCAACTATTGCATTTCTGCCATCCACAATCTCCATCAGTCTCCGCATCAACTTCTTCTCCCGATGTTGCTCCTCCCTGGACTTCAAATGATCTGTAGAAACAAGTGAAACACTTTTAATTGTTACTTGAAAAAAAAGGTAAGCAACCATAATGTTGAGTAGAGAGTCTCTTACCTGGCTTCTCCAGCAGCCTGCGGAGTTCCCCCTCCACACCGGGCTGCTGCTGCTCCAGCTCCTGAGTCCTGGCTCTGAGATACACAGTCAATAAAAACATTTAAAAAATAAAGAGGATTAGCTGATGTTTAATGCACATCGCATGTCAGGTTAGACAAAAAAAGTCTTAGAGAACCATATGTGGCATCTTTAAGAATAATAGCAATCACAATATAGAGCTTAAAGGGGGGAAAACTAAATATCATTTAAAATGAAAGTAAACAAAAGTCTCTGAGGTGAACACTTTTATCACCGTTTATCTTCTAAGTTTAAGGCTATAATAAAGAAGTACTCACATGTAAACAAGCTCTGACTCCTTTCTAATGTACACCTGTTTCTTTCGAATGAGAGTGAACCATTCGACCATCAGAGGGTCCATCAGTATGTCTCCATCCCCCTCTGAAAAAGAAACACTCTTTTTAAAATGATCTTAAGCACACATGATATTGAGATACAGCATCTCTTTGTCCAAAATGACATCTCTTTTCATTTTCACCAGACCTACTCTGTTTTCATATGACTGAATGTTTACACTACAACAAGATTACGTGTGACAACACGTAAAAATGATTTGGCCGCTGTGCAGTCGCAGGCCGCAGGTTTGTTGAGATGTGTTCTGATTCACCTCCTGGAACCGAGTCAATCCTCAGGGACAGTCATATGCAGCTAATAATAATCAGCTTTGTACCTTAAGTGACAAATATCTTTATTCTGCCATTTTATAGTCAAAGTAAAACAGAGCACTGATACAGAACAAAGATATAATCAACTGTTTGTGATAAAAATGTCTAATTAATGTTTATTTAGTTCATTAGTACTTGCAGTTACTTCTATTTTATGACCTTCTATTTTAACTTAAATTGGGTTGAATTCATTTTCAGAAACTATTCAATTAGGAATAAAATGATCGATAAATTGCTCAGAAAGACATCAAGGAGAAAAAACAAACTCTCTTTGGATACATTTTTTTACCTGTGAGTATTTGTTTCTTTTCTTTTTAAAATATGGAGATAAATACAATTTTAAAACTTTTTAAAGCTTTTTGTAACATATTTTTGGTTTGAACAAAACAGGCTTCTAGACATCATATTTTGAAACTCTGTGGAGCTTTCGTCGTGATTTTTGTAAAACTGAATGTCTAATAATTGCAGATAAATCAATGGTTAGAAAAATCTTTTAATTTTTTAGCAAAACAGTGAAAACACCAGTATCAGTATTACCATGTGTACCGCGATAACTTATCTTAATACTGAGCACAACATGAATGTTATAGTTCAGTCTTAACGTGCAGGAGATAGAGATCAACACAGAGGGAATACATGATGAAGTGCGTATTTATCTTTAACACTTAGTTAATAATGATTGAGAAATAATCCTGAAGGGATAAGTGTACACATTTTGTTAAATCATTTTCAAATAAGTGTTGGGTTTTAAAAGGAAATGTCTAAGTGTCCTAACCAGAAAAGAAACATCAAACATACTGTACAGAGGAGCTTTGACACAAAGACAAAATTAAGAATGTAACTAAAATGTTTGCAGCTGTTTAAAGTTTTGTCTTGAATTAGTTAAAATTCAGACTTCATCCCCTAATTGATTAAATCGACAGATTTCTACAGTGAGTATTGATCCCTATTCCATCAAGGCCTCATTTACAAGAAATACTTCCTCATGATCCAGATCCAGGACAAAGCTAACATGTTTTTATTTTTTAAGAGCCAGGATTTCGTTTTTTTTTAATGAAAAATTCCAGGTGAGAAGCTGATGATCTCCAAGGTGCTATACAATTGATGTCAAATTTTGGCCAAGTGACCGCATGCTAAGGCTTTCTGGGTGGCACTTGAAAAAAAGAAGGTATGCAATGGACCAGAATATATATTACTATGCCCGAGTCATGTTGACCTTGAGCGAAGCAATCAGGCCCCCTACTCCCACTCCCTGAAAAGAGAAGCAACATCCCTGTGGGCCGTCTGTGCCTCTCACCTCATTTGGCTGCAGAAACAGTAATAGAAATGGGCAGAATGTCCCCCGAACGCAAACCCACACACCTCAACTTCCAGCTGACAGGGACTGAGAGTGTGTGTGTGTGTGTGTGTGTGTGTGTGTGTGTGTGTGTGTGTGTGTGTGTGTGTTTATGTGAGGACACTGCGCCAAAGATACTCTCACTGAATCAGCAGTGGGATTCAGCAGTGTGCTGAAATACAATAACATATCTAAGTTGTGTTGAGGTTATTCTCTGCATGAAGGCAAAATTGACCGTTGCATTGATGTGCTCGTTTTAGGGGGATTTCAAAAATCGCACGTATCAACATTCGATTTTATTTGCACATCTAAACAAGTCTAAAATGAGTTGCAGGGAAAGAGTGGGGGATAAAAAAAAAGAAAAAAAAAAAGTACCTTCCTCACAGCTGCGGAGTTTCTTTTCCAGCTCCACGCCCTCCTTCTCCAACTGAGCCAAGTTCATCTCAATATCGTTCAGCTCTCTCTCAATCTGCTCCGCTGGAATATGATAAGACTTCACCTGATATAAAACAAAAGAACTTAAGAGTCACAGTCGAGTATAGATTATTTTAATTTGAAAATTCAGACTTTGGCCGCTTAAACGCAAAGAAGGTCGTTCATTTTTTTCGCCGGGAATGTAATGAAAGCATATTTGTAGAGCTGTTAATTAATCTCTTAAGAGACTTAATGGAGGGAACTTACAGAGGGTGACCTCATTTGAGTCCTGGAGGCGTTGGTGGGTGACAAATACTTTCCCTTTTTAGCACCTAAGAGGTAGATAAAATAGGATTAGATAGTCCTTTCATGGCAGCTTTTCAGAAAAGCATTGTCACATACCACTTCACCTGATTTATTTTCAGTGAAACATTGACTGCTCATATGAAATCAACAAGATGGATGAGGCCATGTATGTGTGGCTTTGACGATGATATTTTTAACCCACATGACGGATTCCCGTGATTGGCTGGAGCAGACATTGAGGAGCTAATAGATTCCACAGCTGGCCGTCTGGGTGGGGATTTCACAGATGAGTGAGTCTCCTGTTGAAAACCTAAAATAAGGACAGGTAGGTTAACATGGTGCAGATATGCAGGAAATTCTATCTGCTAATGAATTCTCCTGTTTTAGGAGAAAATATCTGCATGAATCTAAAAACACAGGGAAGCATGTGTGTCGTAACTGTGGGGGGGAGGCATGAAGAGACTAAGAGGAGTTGTGATGTGACGTGTACCTTCAACATAATACCAAAGTCCATATACATTTTCACTGTTTGTTTTTTTTTAAACAAAAATGAAAAAAAAAAAAAAGTATCCAATACAAATGGGAAAAATGTCAAATACAAAGTTGAGAGTCAACAGAAAAAAAAATTCAAACCAATCATATTTGTCTCCAGCCGCACAGCTGAACAGGTATAAATTATGAAACTTCACTCAGTTCAAACTACCAACATGAGAAATAATCACAGAGGTAAAATACACATTATGGCTCCTAGAAGCTCTGTCCCGGGATCAGGATGAACACCAATTTATTTGATTTATTTTTGATTATGAAACAGGGACACACACAATGAACATTGCTTTAATGATACTTTTGTTGGTTTTAGCCATGCTAGTGGAGTTGTGGTCTGTCTGTCAGTCAGTCCACCTCATTAGTCTGGACTAGAATTTTCAATGGATATCAATACCAAACTTTGTTAAAGCATTCAAGTTCCCAAGAGGCTGACAAAAAAAGACTCCTACGATCCCCCCGACTTCTCCTCTAGTGCCACCATGACATTTGGATTTGTAGATTGGTTTGAGATGACTTGATGATGTTTGATTGATTTGATCAGAATATATTACAGACATTCGTGCCCCCTCAGAGTGATTTGTCACTTTGGTTGTTGTCTGACGTTATGTTTGTTGTCTGATTAGCCCCAATATTGGTTAGTTATTTTGATTTGTCCATTATAACTGCATATTTGGAAAGCCAAAGACGTTATCATTCTCAGCTCGACTTTGTGTTTAGAGCTAATCTGGGATGTAAGGTGATTATGGGCGTCATAATGCTAGAAGTGCTGCTAACTTGTTTTTATAAGAATGTTATTGTAACATTCTTATTGTCACCCCAAACTAAAACACTGAACATGACATGCTCAGCATCAAACAACAGACACTGTTCGCACTTGTGCTTGTGAACATAATTGAGTGTTTAGATGTTGAAGAGTCAGATAGTTTCCCTTTGGAATTTGTTATGAGAGTGATATAACATATTACGATAACATTACACTCGTGCATTTCTTTATGGGAACTTCCTAGGAAAGCCTAAAGCTTGAATAGAACATACTCTGTTTATGTAATATACAGAAGTGACTCACTTGGGTTTTCAAAGGCATGATGAGGTTTCTGAGGAGACACTTGTGTGAAATGTGCAGCATCAAACAGAGCAAAGCTGACTGCTGGTTGTGCAGGTGTTTGAGCCGAGGGAGGCCGTGTTGTACTGATGGAGACATTAGAAGAAGTCGCAAACCGGAACTCAGGCTTATGTGGCTCAGTATACACTTCTGTTTGTGCATCTCTGTGAGAAAGACAATGAAGCGTGTCATTAGGTTTGACAGAATTTGGATGTAAAAGTGCGGCATTCATCTTACACTGACGATAACAACAGAATCAAAACATAAGGAAAAGCCTCACCTTGTTGTATTGTATTTATGAACGGTGGGGTAAACAATGGAGGAATCATCAGCGGGGATTAGAAATGAGAGTGTTAAGAGAAGGAAAGGTTCAGGCCAGGTACTCCTTTGGACTTGTTAGGATGGGGAAACAGAGCTACAGCTGCACTCTGGGCCAGTTAACAGAGACAAGGTGCGACAAGTCTGCAGGCTGGAGAGTGAATAAGCTGAATGGTCATGGCTGTATGAGGACAACTCCCTCAAGATGTCCACCCTGTGTGACCTTCCCACATCCACCTAAGTGAGTTATGAGGCAACGGTGATTATAAGGAGAAACGAGGATACTTACTTAAGACATAGCTGGGTGTTCAAAGGTTCGAGCTGTGATTGCCTCCCTTGGATCGGATCTGCATACAAATGATTGAGAGAAAGGTGGGTGAAGAATTAAGAGACGTGTTATTTTTATTTAAGTTATTAAGTTAAGTTACTTTTCTTTAGTTTAATCAAAGCAGGTAAAGTTCCTCAAGTTGTACACACTAAAAATATGTATTTGACTTTTCCCTGTGTCACTCTCACCTCTACAGCTATAAATGGGTGCTGTGACTAGTGTCAATGTCTAGTCTGTCATACAGCGGTAAAATAACAGATCGTTATCGGTATATTTGAGTTAGACACCCAAATTATCTGTAAATGCAGAAATGCTCTTTAGAATTGTGACAAAAGGTGATTTTCAAATTTCACAAAACTTGAATTAAAGCCCAGTTTCAATACTTTTCAATACGAGGTGATGATTTTATGACCATTTAAATTAACAGCCAGGAGTAATTGTGTTGCAGTCGGAAATGGGACTCACTGTCAGGATGCTGCACCCATGCATGTACATCCATCCAGAGAGAATGACAGTTCAACTATTAAAGTTCATTACAAGAGTGACACAGAAATTAAAATGTCAGTTGTTACACATGGAGCTAACATCACGCTAAATGCCCTGGCTGTATAAATAGGGCAGAAATGACAAAAGGGCTTTGTTTTGTTTTTTTCTATGAATGCGTTTGCAGACAGACAGAGGGAATTGGCAAGGCAGAGGTTGTATGCTGGCTAGATGTCAAAAAATGGATCAAGAACAACCGAAATGAATTTAGTAACGCTTGCCTGCAGCGGTCGTGTGTACAGTCGTTGGCCTTGTGTTGTCTTTGTTGACGGCCTTCAGACGTGGAAATTCCTTATTGTTTGTCTGGCTGGAGGAGGGCTGTCCTGCCTGGTTTCCTGCTGGGCCTTGGCTACATTTATCTTTTCTCAAACCGGGTCTGTCAGCGGAACTTGGCTCATCTCCAAACCTGCAAAGAGAGAGAGAGAGCCCTCATCATCAACCATATGAAAAAAAAAAAAAGTCAGGACGAATGCATGCAGATAGACCCAAAAAACTAGAACTGTCCAAACGAGAAGGAACTATTCATGCCAATACTCACCGTGTCTCTGCTGGTCTGATGGTGAACAGCCGTTTGTTGTTGTTGTTGCAGTTCTCTTCTGCCAGTTTCTTTCCGATGGTCGTCCTGGCTCTGCTCTTCTCTTCATCAGAACTCAGTTGGACCTTCGGCCTTCCTGAACTGCTTAAAGGCTCTGCGGGCTTCCTGTTAACTGTCGCGGCCTCTGGAGCTTGCTGCGCAGACTGGAAAAACCTCTGCCGGGCCGACTGGGTCTTCTGTGCTGATGCTGTCCAGGACAGGGAAGGTGGAGCAGGACTGACCGCCGTCTTCACTGCATTATTAAGCGGAGCTGACAGCACAGAAGAGAGGCGTGACGCAGGCTGGGTCTGGCTGGAGCTGTTTAACGGCCCAGCTGAACTGCCTTTGATCCCGTCCTTGGTGGAGGAGGGTTTGCAACTGTTGTGGTGGGCTTTACAGATAAACGTGTCGGGATTCTTCCCAGGTTTGTAGCCTCCTGCGTGAAGAACACTGGAGCAATCACTGCACCTGATTGAAAGGTTGTTAAAAGGCAACTATGAATTTAATAAAAACTAAACAGTGACAGGAAAGTGTCAAAGAAAAAAAAAAAAATCAGGTCTTACTTAAAACAGCTTCTGTGGTACAGCTTGCCTTCCACAAAGTGTCTCTGAACCAGATGAACGTGACTCTTGCATGCAACACATTTGCTGTTCAGAGTCCCATTTTTGTTGCCATTTTCAGCCAGAACAGCCTTCTGCAAAACCATAACAACAACTAGGGTAACACTGCATTCAAAAAGCCACCTTATTAACCTTTATTAAATCCACTTTGAATGAACAGGATAACTAGAAAGGTATTACTTAAAGACTATGAAGATGTTTTGTGAATATTTTGATTTCTAACCTGAGCAGCAGCTCTGGCCACCTTAGGGGAGGTCTGAGCAGTGACAGCTGAAGGTGAACGATTCTCCGAGGCACTTTTAGACACAAAGGTTTTGGCAACAACTGGGAGATTCTTCTTCTCTGATGGCTCCTCCTTGGAGCCCTCTGCTGGCCTCTTTACACCTCCCACTGAGGAAAAGTAGAGCACCATTACTTTCAATTATCACACTCTGAGAAAATGAACATGCCTCAGCACTGAACCTGCAAAATCAACATGAAAAAGCTTTTAATTAATCCAGATGGGCAACACTCGGCCGTAGCTCTTCAGTTTCCAGGATATTTTAAGCGGCTGTGTTCTCACTTGGAGACCGTCCTTTAAAGTAGTTGTAGTACTGGGAGACGTAGGTAAGGATGCTCAGCCTGTCTGGGATCCTTAAAGCCACCATGTCTTCTGCGTCTAACAAAGCTGGGATCCCCAGCTTCTCCTCTGCCACCTGAAACGCCTTGACAGACAAAACATACACATTTTAAACCATCGGCACACAAATCAGAAGCACTTTTGGCCGTAACAGTTTTGGCTGCTCCCAATGTGTTAAAAATGTCCCACAATACAATCTCCTTTAAATAGACCAGCAGCAGTCCAGAGAGGTTATAAAAGGGCTTCATAATGAATAGAGCACTTCCTGCGAGCTAGTAGGGATAAGAAAGAGGACGGAGGGAGTGAGATAGCAGGGCATTGTTTAGTATCAGCCTGGACATGCTCATTAAATTTAAAGCAGAGCCGTACTGAATACCAAGTCTGTCTGTAGAAGAAAAGCACTCAGAGCTGTTTGCCACAAAGACACGCACACAATTTCTTATTTAACAACTTGTGAAATAACCACCTGCAGGACACATGACACTATTCATGAAAAATAGAAGGGTGTGAATTACTGCACAGGTCATGCTCTCATGTTTTGCTGCTCAAAGGGTCTCTAAAAGTTCTTTAAAACTAAAACATTTTTAAACACCGCATTCTCTGGCCACAAAGTTATTCTGTTCTGGAGTACATTTTGATTAAAAAAAAATACAACAACAGTGGCTTAAAGTGAACCGTTATCGTGAGTATCAAGTGGTAGGTGACAGTGAGCCTCATTCAAAATGGATGTCCTGGAGAGCCTCTTCCCCGGGCTCAGGTTTGTTGCTGACACTGCCAGGACCATCTGAGACAACAAGGAAGTCATCCAGAGTGCATACTGTAGCCCCGTGCCGGGCACATAACCCTCAGAGGAAGCTGCTTAAATGGAAGAAGTCTGAATAATGGAGAGGCCACTGCTCTGTGGCTCAGGTCATGAAGGGGTTAACAAAATAAATGAGGTCAAGTGGACAGAGGCAGAGGGACAATCTTGAGTTTTTAAGTTTTAAAAAAGAGGCTAAAGTTGGAATCGGCTTTTGCTCAAACTGCTGCGCTGCTAGAATGTTGAAACAGCTGAGTATGAAAGCACTCTGCTGCATAAACGCTAAAACAAGAACAAATAGGGTGTGATGCTCGATGTGTCGTCGTGGCTCTGGGGTTAATAAAGCGGGGTGTTTTATGCCATGTCAGATTATGCAGCTCAAGAATGAGGTCAGCCAGATAGGCTGTCTACGGTCGGCTTTGACAAAAGTTCAACAACTTGACTTCTTACCAGCCTGTTGTTCTCGAACACATCCTCCTTTCTGAGTGACTCATAGTCTCTGGAAGAAAAAAGAAAAACAGGAATACAATGAACAGAGAGTATGATGTGTTGGGGAAAACTTTATCTGACTCAGGGTCAGAACTCTGGGCTATTCTAAATAGAGAAGTGGGTTTATTAATAGAAATAGATACTTTTTTATTACACATACCAACTTTTATTTGTATCATCTTGTTCAAGACACATTCCGCAATAGGACAATTAAAAACTAGAACCAAATCCCCTTACAAAAACGACAACACACACTGAAAATGCATTTACATCAGGGGGAAAGGGAACAAAAGAATAAGCAGTTTTAGGTACTTAAAAGACTTAAATAAATAACGGAATGGTCCAATTTTAGAAGGACATATCACCATCGCCAGCTGAATTCTACCAACATTGTCACACTTTTTTTCCTTCAAGGTGAAACACTTACATGAGGTCCGGTCTGTATTTGTGTATAAGCGCACAGAAAGCCAGTCCGTTCCTGAAAGAGGTGGTCATGTTGGTGATGGCCACATCTCGATAGCCCTCACAGTGCATTTTACACCACTGCTCCAGAGCCTTGATGGCTGCCATGCTCCCACTGAGACACACACACACACACACACACACACACATACACTGTACACCCAGTGCAGATAGACAGCGACGCGCGCAACAGGCAGGGGAGACGTTTCAGTGCGAAGGAGCCGGAGGAAAGAGAGGTAGAAACAAAAAGTCTGTGCTCAGGATTTGACCGTGAACTGCGGCGCTGCAGCTGCGTCCTGTTTCCTTCTCTTACCTGAATGCGCGCGCTGAGCCTCCGGGACGAACGGCTCGTGCGTGTTTAGTGTGCGTGTGTGCGTGTGTGTGTGTGTGTGTGTGTGTGTGTGTGTCTATGTGTGGTTACTAACTGAACTGTTTTTCTGCGCGCATTACACTAATTGACCCCGACTGCTGATGCGCCATTTCAACACTAGATCAAAACACAACCAGTAAGGTAAATAATCATTTTAAAAATAGTTGTAAATCAGAGAAAGTAGTCTAAATAGGCCTACTTAAAATAAGATAAGTCCAAGTTCTGATATAGATACCAATCAATATAAGACCTTGAAGTGAAAAGGCATTTGCATACAAGAGTGTGATCATGTGTTAATGTGGTTTTTATTTTGAAATCACTAGACGAGACGGTGTGGGAAGTGTCTTTAAACTGAATGTGCTCCCAATATGAAAGATGCCTACATTAATCAATCAATGCTATGGCATCCTGATGAGTAACAAGACCCTCTAGTCCCTCTTGAAAACACAAACCTCCAAATTTGACTTTAAGGCAACATGTTAAGTTTGTGATTTTTGACTACTTTCTGAAATAATCCTGATGATTCATTCTGTCACTTACAAATTGCTTTCACAACAACGAGGAATATGGAACGCATTCCTATCAACATATCTTTGTATTATAATCATTATGTTTCTACTGCTGATTGGTTATTGTCTTGCTGCCACTGTTTATAATGCTGCAGTTCTTTTGTCTTCCTGTTAGACTCTCCTCTTAGGACAAAAGCCTGGCCGTCTTACAGCCTCGCTTATGTGGGCGTTTACCATATATATATTTTCATTGAATAGACCATGAAATTAATTAATCATTTTTGGTCTCAGTGAAGGAGGACTATGCTGTAGGATTTCTGAAGTAATTAAACACCAGGCTTGCTATCTCATCCACTATATTGAGGTCAGTGTGTGAGAACCAAGAAGAGAATTTATGACATGCATGTTTTTTTTTTTTTAAACCCCACTCAGCTTTGTGTGGGCTCTAATTAGGGCCTAATTGAGGGCAACTATTGTCATATAAATATTCTGACCTAATTAGCACATATTGTTCCACACATTTTTAGGGAAACATGTAACCTGATTTTCAGCAGCTTATATGAAACTATTTTTTAAAGTTTATACTCCGAAAGTATTTTCTGACAAATTTGTAAGGAAACTAAAACCCTCGTTTGAACTAAACAGGAAACTAGAAATCTCTACTTCCTCTCTACTCTCTACTTCCACTCTTACCCCCATATGACCCATTCACCTCAACTGTGAGTGTTTAAATCTATTTGTATGAGACCAGAGCTAAACTTGAATCTTTGAAATGGAAGTGAACAGTGCAACCTCCTTCACTGTAAGATAAATTGTTTTTCACAAAACCAGGGTCTGAAAATATGTGAGCAAACCAACACATATTTCACTCTGGTCATCAGATCTTGTCATGTGTGACCAGAGTGAAACAGGAATGTATGCATTATTTCCATTTTACACTTGATGCATGTTGCATTGTCCATTCTACCTCGCACCTGTCCTATCTGAGGACACTCTCATGCCCAGAAGGTGGCGGTGTCACACTGCGCAGTTAGAAGACCGACACACTGACAAAATGCAAACACCACAGGAATTCAATTTCAATGATAAAATTTAGTTGTTGTTCAGGACAAATTTAGTTCAGACATTACATATTATTTTGATAAGTTTTTTTTGTATTTTTACTTTTTTCAGTTGTTGTAAAACTAAGAAAAAAAGCCATTTAAAACATTATTTTTGCAATAGGAGTTTATGTTATGAACCAATATCCTCTTAAGGTTGTTTGTTTTTATTTAGTCAAATTAACTGTACAAAACTGTGTACTGCAGTTAAAGAGACACACGGGATGACTTTTGCTTTCATACTTTTACCTCTTAGTTAAGTTATAAATGCAACATTTAAAAGAAAATGACTAACACCTCACTTTCATATTGCTCTGAACAGGATTATCTCCAGCTTAAACTTTGTAAAATAACAGTGTCTGTTGAAGTTTGTGACTTCTTCTATTTTCTTTACCACAGTTGTTATGAATTCAAAGTCTACATGGTGTTTGTGTCACTTTCACACCAAGCAGAAAAAAAGATCCTGTGCTTACAGTCTATATAGTTTTCAAATAATAGACATGTAATATCTATATAGACTTCTTTTTTCACGATTTTACCCTACAGCCATTTCCATTGTTTCCATTGAGGACGTGTGTCTGCATGCAGACATCCTCTGTAACCCGAGAGGTCAGGGATGAGTCTGCCATTAGTGAAATCCAGTAGAAATGATTTCACCGTATCCCATTTAAGCCCTGATGTACTGATATGTTACTTAGCACTCAGCATTTACCATTTGTCACCATCATCTGTAATAGACCTGTCATACAGCATGTGTCTGTCGTTCAGAGTCGACTAAACGAAAAACTTCCAAATGCAAAGAAAATCATGTTCAGAATGAAAGAAAGAGAAATAGACATAAAGAGAATGTGTGACGTTGACTGATAATTTAGAAAATGTAGTTTGCAGAAACTTTTTTGTAGCTGCACATTTTAATCGTGAAGATTGATCACTGATGCACTTCAACCTCCATAACTTTGAAGAACTTTTGAAGTTGTTCATAAAAGTGCACAGAAATGTGACAAAGATGTTTGAATACAAATCAGAGAGAGACAAAATTAATTCTTGTTTATAATTTTATTTAAAAAAAATAACAAATATTTTGTCTGACAAAAAAAGGAATGTTGGCTAAATAATAGAGTTACTTAACTTAAAAAAATATTTTAAATGCCACACTATCATACAGACTGTTCTGTAGGCTAAGATTATCTGTACAAACAGGAAGGTTGTGAAATGATCAATCATCTTGCTTGGCATCAGCTTCCTGTGTTTGTGTGTCGCCTCCTGACGTGTTCACAGTGCTGTGGATCTCGGCCTCGTGCTCTCGGGCTTTGGCCCTCAGCTTGGCGATGCTGCAGGAGCGGAGATCCTCTGAGCTCGGCTCCTCCGGCCCCTCCGGTCTCTCCCATTTCCCTGACCTGTGAGTCACAGGCTGCATAGGCACGCTCATCGCAGCACACACAGTTTTTGTCCATGGATTGTTGTCTCCTTCCTGTCGTCTCTCCCAGCGCTCACTGTCAGAACTCTCTGTCTGCGGTTTTAAACCTCTGCTCTGTTTCCCAGACGTTTCATCAATGTCTCTGTTTGCATAATGCCCTGCAAGCTGGCCCTGCAGTTTCAGCTGTCGCCTCATCTTGGCCCGTCGGTTCTGAAACCAAACCTGGATACAAATGAAGGAATATAATTTTATTATAATATGAAATACAAAAGTTAGATTCAAATTATTGACAAGATAATCTTTGTTGAAAACTTGAGAAAAAAGAACTTTTTTTTCTCACTGTAAAAATGTAAATGCCTATTTCTCCTCTTTTCAGCAACCCATGAAGGAAACATATTTTTAAGTCAACTGACCTCACTTTTTGAACATTTGAGGCATTAAAAAGGCATTCCACGTGTCCATGCTGCACTGAAGAGATCACTTTTCAATACAAAACGATGCAACCTCAAAAAAAACAAGACTTTTACTTAAAAACAACCAGCTTTATTTGATCTGCTCAGACTGCTGAGGCCTCATATAAGGCTTAAGATAATTTTTTACTAAATGGAACAAATATACTCTACTGACTTTGACCTCTTACAGAATAAGGGGTTTCTCTTCACAGCTGGTAGGAAAGAAGACCAACCACAGAAACCAATGACAGTTTCAGCTCATGCATACATATGAGTATGGTTTCAGACAGACTTGAAATAATTTGAAGCCAAATAAAATGTATTTGTAATGTATGTATGTAATGTAGAAATACGAATTGCAGAACCAAAATTTGATGCAACTCCTCAGATTTCATTGTGCCATTCTTTGCATATTTGATGAGCTGACATCTTAAATGAGTATGAATTAAGACATACACCCTTCTGGGAATTTAAATTGTATTTGTCAGCACAGGCTGGGAGCGATGAGCCAGCTAAAGAGCCTTTAGAATGCTTTAAAAAAAACAGTGATAGCAGGTAAACGAGTGTGAGGTGAACGATAGGCTGTACATGTGTTGGTTACCTGCACTCTGGCCTCGATGAGGTCCAGTCGAACAGCCAGGGCTTCCCTCATGAAGATGTCAGGGTAGTGGGTGGTCTCGAAGGCCTTCTCCAGCTCCTCCAGCTGCCAGCTGCTGTAGTTGGCCCGCGCACGACGCTGCTTCACTGGCCTCTGTTCATCTGGAAAGCACAGCGCGAGCACCAATTACACAATCGCCAACGGGTGACAAAGAACTAATGGGTCTAGATTGGATAATTAACGCAGCCATCATTAGGCCCACTTTAACACTGCTTGATAATTGATTGTTAGTTACGAGCTGTTAGCTAATCTTTAGTAAACATTTACACTGGAATCAGATGGTGCTGACTGAGACTGTCATCGAGACTGTGGACAAACAGTGCCAGTTTGGCTACAATCAGTCCATGTTTTCCGCCACACCAGTTGAGGTTTAAACTCACCCATGACCTCTGTGAGCTGCCCCATCCCAACTGCCTGTGTGGCCAGCAGCAAAGCCTCCTTGCATGGCTCCGGCTGAAGATAACTTCTCAGGGACTCGTAGCTGATAAAGGGCCCCGGGATCAGGATCTGAGGTTGAGAGCTCAGTCTGGTTGGGAATGCAGGAAAAAAGTGGGCTGCAGGCGAATGGAAGACTGCAGGCAGGAGAGTAGATACCAGCTGCCTTGGGCCAAACATGTCCAATATATGAAAAGTCTAATGTTAAGTGTCTGTCCACTGAAAAGGGGACAGCTTGACTCTTAAATGGATGGTGGTTTTCTAAAATGCATCCCAACATCCAGATGAAAAAGAATAGAAAAATAAATATGAATATGATGGTTTTCCAGTTGTATCCAGTTTGTTGTTAGAGCTGATTGCAGGTATTAGGTGTTGCCTGGAGAGTAAAGGTAAGATTTGAGTTGTGGAGGTGGTCTCACCTGGGCTTTCTACTCTTCCTCCCAAATCCTCTACCCCTCCTTTCTCTGGTCACGTGACCCCAAACAGCCGACAGGGCTTGGTCTCTGGGAAGCAGGTGAAAATCCAGCCTGTGATTTATCTCTCAGTGGATTATCAGCATTAGTCCATCAGTATTTTCTGCATTGGTCATTACTTTCCAAAACTTTTCCAACAATCAGTATGCGGTAGAATATTTTTCTCTCTACCGCCCTTCCTGGGACAAGTTGCAACATCTTTGGCTTCTGATATTTCAATCAGCGGGATGGATAGGAGCTCAGTGTGTCAAAGCTCAACTGTGAAGTGTACATTCATACAGACACGTTCACCTTGAAGATTTGCACAGCTCTGATCTGACTGGTTTAACAGTTGTTCGATGGAATGAGAAGAAATGAGTGAAAAGGAGACATCATGAAAAATGACAACACAAGTTGTTTGATTCTGTAGAATGAAAAAAAGCACAAAGTATCCCGAAATGTAGAAATATTTTACTGTTGTTTTTCTCAAGATGAGACTTTTATTTTCAGAATCGCCAAGATTGGCTGATTAAAAAGTAATCATGTTTGTTCACCACTATAAAAAATGTAATATCTTGTTGTAATAGTCTACATCACAGACACAAATGTCTTTTTTTACATGACATCACTTGACATAGCTTATATCGAGTAACTATTTTTCATATTGTAAAGGGAAAAGACGCAATTGACTCCTGAAGTTACAAACAACTTAGTTACTGTGCTGAACAACTACATGGGTACAAAGACTATCGTCTCAAAATTAGAAAGTTTGATCATGGTGATATATTAATTGTTGTTGAATGTTACTTGATGTTTTGCTAATAAATGAGAGACTTGAGGAAGTCTTAATATTTCTAGCACAGACCTGAGGTAAAAATAGAGTTTGAGCTGGTGATTTGTTTGAAACTTTCCTGGGATACAACTTTTTTTAAACTTGCTAACATGGTAGGTTAAAGTCTCAAAGATTCTGTAATTTGTAAGCATTGTTTACATTATTTATAGTTTGTTAATAACAGTTGTTACAATGATTAGTGGTTATATTTGCAGCTTTAAGAAGCATGTAGACAGTAGTCAGTGTTGTTGAATACTTACAGGATTTTTCCATCTTATCACAGCATACACATCAACACATTAACATCCAAGACAGGAAGATTATTAACTCTTTTTTTTCCCCCCCTCTGAGTGAGGCAGCTGTAGCTTAGTGTTGAAGGATCCCTGATGATACGATCGTCCACACTGTCTTTGTGAATTAAACACAGGTGTGACAATTAATCCGAAGATACACATCACTTCACAACACGTCCCTCTAACTGCTCTAACTGCTCATCAGCTCAGACTGTGGTGAAAACATGCAGCTGTCAGTGTCGTCACCGCTGAGTTTGTCTGAGCGAGATGGCTTTGATCAGCGCGGGACCTCTGCTGCAGGAGAAGTTGGTCAGAGCTCAGGTGAGTCACATGGACAGTCGATCCTCTTAAACTGCAGCCCTCTCACCTGTGGCCCTTTCATCCACACCTGTTCAAACACTAAATAAATGCCTTAGTGTTGGCATAAAGAGGTTTGATGTATCAGGATTTCAGAGATTTAAATTCTTTAAAAGCTCATGTTAAAACTGAGCCAATATTTATAGACTTAGTTTGATTCCACAAAGGTGAAAAAAATGGGATAGGATAATTTAACTCTTCTTTAAATGATTGTAACACAATTGTTAAATATAATCTTATCAAAAGGTGGCAAATACCCCATGTCACACTAAAATATACACTACTAAGAAAGGTTTGCTGAAGTAATATTAAACATGATTCAGGCTTTACTTGGAATTGGTTTATTTAGGAAGGAACATAATCAATGTTGTACTGCACAACCGGGGGATGTAAAACAAGTTTTCTTCTTCTTCAGTCTGTGTCTATCTCTGCATGCGTGTGTGTGTGTGACAGAGGGAAAAGACAGCGATTGAAAGCAAATCATTTCTTGAGTTTGCAAGTTCTGTGGGGGAAAGAAAAATAGATTAAAAGTGTCTCGTCTGAGCTGTGGCTAAACAAACGCAGCGTGTGGTGGGACTGACGACTGAATAGCCATCTCCGTTTGTCCCTGGCACACAGGTAGTTACAGGGATTTCTGGTCTGTTTGAAAGTAGACCCCTTTCCCCCACCCCCAAAAATACTGTGTTTGTCTTTGCCAGGGTCCTTTAATACCCATTGATCCAGATAATCAGGGACAAAATTGGTGAAAAACCAGTGGGGGGAGGCTCTGACAGTGGTTGCTGAAAAGAACTGCTTCTGGATAATTGAAGGAGGCATTAAGACAACAATAGTAATGGCTAATGCCAGGACTTATTGGTTTCTCTGGTATTTCTAGCTCCCTGGATGTCAAGACAACATTGGAGAGTCACAGCTAGCATAGCAATCATCGAATCATTGGCAGAACTTCAGCTGCGGGGACAGAATGTGCATTATCTGTAGGTTTAGCACGCAACCAATGAGATGTCCTTCAGATGTCTTTAGCTTGAAATGAACTTGTTTGAGCTTGCATTCATTTGTGCAGAGTGGGAAAAGGACAAACCCCCTGAAATGTGTGCTGTTTTTTGGATCTCTGATTATGCTATGGTTCTCATATTTGAAATAAAGATATAAAAAAAAATGTTTAAAAGTGACTTTTTTGTAACTCCACCTTTGAGCTTTACAATTTAGAATGGTGTGTGTGAATATGAAAATAGACAGCTTTTATTCATCATCTGTAGATAAAGGAACATTTTTTTGTGCCTGTTGGTACAATGTCAACAAACTTGAGTTGGAAAAAACACATCATACATAAAATGATCAAATGTATTTGTGGCAGAATACTGTTATCGTCCTGTGTAATGTTTTCACTGTTTATGGTGAACATGACCAAAGAACTGTTATTTAGAGCAACATCATTTGTACAAGGTAGTGATTCAGACCAAGTGAGGAAAGTCAGTCCGATATTTCTTCTCTATTACCTCTGTTTTGGTCTCAACCAACTTCAGCTAACTAGCTAGCTAACAGTTGTTTGTTATCTGGTGTTTTGGACAGTAGTGTACAATGGGTTTTAGAACTTTTCCTATGTAAAAAACTGTCTGATATTACCGAAGAACAACAATTAAATTACACCCCAGAAAGCGAAACAATTAGCTATAAAGTCTGGAATTCTCTTTGGCACCATGTTGGCCATTCCAATAAGCCCTTATTAAATTGTTGTATTGACATCTTTGTTGTGAAAATATGGATTGTTATCTCTAAAAGAGGAAACAAGAGAAATAAATCTCCAAAATACATGATTTTTTGATGTGATATTCCAAAAGTTACAAATATCCAAGTTAAACGTTTGATTATTAAACTTGTACACTGATGTTAAAGTCTTTGGATCTTCAGGAAATCACCATCAATGGCTTAAAACTTGAATGAATTGATGCGTAATACTTTATCCTTTTTTTTTTCATGACAGACATGGCTGAAGTGGATTAACTGCCACACTCTGCTCTCATTTTGATAAGATACAATCTAACACGATGGTGATCATGAACACTGCACATTATTATTCTTTCTCATCCACTACAATGGCACTTCAGCTCATGAAACAAGAGTCTGCCAAATGTCATGTGAAGATGGATGATTATCGTCAGCTCCACTGTCATGGGAATATGTCTATCTGGTGTAATTTGCAGGCTGGAGCAGCAATGAGCACAGATAAGATCAATATTTAATGAAAGTGTAAGTGAAGCTTAAGGGTTGTCACTTATGCCTCCGCTGTTAATGACATGTCACATTATCATACTTATCAGATCGGGTCAATCTTAACTGCAATTACTGGCCTCATATCTTTTTAATTCTTTACAAATGTTGAATCATTTCAGTCGTCCATTTCTGTGCAAACACACCAGGAATGTACTCTCCGTATTATAGTGTCAGTGGTCTGCACAAACTTTCAACTAAAATCTATTAATGGGAGAGTGGATTGGTATAATTCAATCAACACGCCTTAAATGTGTTTGTAACTTGGAGGAAAAGTGTATTTCATGGCTGAGGAAGCCCCTATGCTTGGTGCCTCACTCTCTCTGGTAATAGTATCCTACAGTGAGCCGCTTGATTGTTTTAGTCCTGGATCACTGGCCGTGGGATAAACCTGAGAGCCCAGCCTGCTTTTCATGTCAAAGTCTTCAAGGGAAAGCGGCCACAATCCAAGAGCAATCACACTTGAGACATCAAAGTGCCAGAGAAAAGAGAGGCGAGAGACGGTCCACATTTTTTCCACGCAAGCCAAGTGCAACTCAAGCGTGGAGGAAGAGGAGATGATCTAAGGCGAGGGTGCCATTGAGAGGAAGACGGAGAGCAGACAGATGTGCATGGGCAGGTAGCGGCACATCGGGGCCCCTCCTCTTGCTGGGAGAGACACCAAGACGACTCTGCTGGTCACATTCCTGCTCACTGCTCCCTCACTGTCCACTCTCATGGGGCAGGACAGATGACCTGACACTCATGACCATGCGTCTGCACTGTGAATGAACAGTGTTCCACATTATCACGGTCAGTCCTGGAAGAACCCCTGCTCAAGTTCAAGCACAACTGATTTTAGTGACTAAAGAAAAACAAGCCACTGTGCAGAGAATATCTCTTGTAATGGTGATGAAAAATGATATTAAGTGGCATTTAGTGGTTTTAGCTTTTTAGCATGGAGCTAATTTAAACGATTACTGTAGCTACAGTTTGGTGTTTTAGTACAGGGTTTCCCTTCCACATGTTCAGTCCACTTTCAAAAAGCTCAAAATCTTAACTTTGGGAGATGTTAGGCGATTAATGGGGAAGCAATTAGTTGTTGTATACGACATAGTGACAATATTTAATGTTAGTTAAAAAGAACAACTTTTTGGTTTCTAAACCAAACGATCAGAGGTTTTTAGAGTTGGAATCTTTGTTTGAACTGATGAAAACCCGAAAGAACTAGAAAAGGGGGAAACAAGTGAAACATGATACAGGGCTCATAGACATTGTGTTGGGTATGGCACGCTAAAAGGGTTGAGAACCAGAGACAGCGCTTTTTTTAACAATATTAGCAGTGGTGTAGTGCAGGGTATACACAGATATACAGAGTACACCCACTTATATTTTAGGGTATAACCAATTCTAAATTTCCTCCGATTCCCAATATTCAGACGTATTCTGCAGTTTGTTTTCGCTAGCATGGTTTAAGGGACGATAGTTGTCTCAGCCTCTAGTCTAGTCTAGTGTTTGCCAGTTAAAATGATAAGACCTTTTCTGTGGTTTATGTTAATGTCATAACAATCCCCACTCCCTTAAGTCAAGCAGAGGAAGTTGAGTGTTTATGTGTAAATACAAAAGGCCCTTTTGGAAAAAATATGCAAGAGTAGTCTTATACAAGTCAGTGTTTATCCTCTGCTGGAAAGGCCTCTTAAAAAAACATTTTCGGGAAAAATTAAGAGTATACCCACTTCTTCAGGCACCGCTACACCACAGTGTTTTAGTATTTTTAAGATGTGTCATTAGCTCATAATGTAAGATTAATATAGAGAAATAAAATGTTTAATATTCCCATTTGAAATCAGAAGAATGGAAGACATGATCACAACAAGAGATACTAAGTTATAATTTTATATCTGCACTTGAATAAACATGTTTGTTTTTTTTCATCTGCTGCCCATGGTTACTTCAATGAATATTTACTTTAAAGGTATTTTATTTTAGTGTGAAGCACGGACAAATTAGCTGATAGCTCTTAGCAGCTGCGTTTGATGGGCATCCAACCTGGTATGATGAATAAAGGCAGAGGTTGTTAACTTGTCAGTGGTCTGTCACACTATTCAGCAAAAGGGGAGCGCCCCCTCCTCTCCCTTCCTCACACCACTTCCTCGTAAGCTGTCATTCATCTCTGTTCCGCCTCACTGCTGCCCAGCCAATAGGATGCTGGCGCCTGACCAAGAGCACCAGGCTGCTTAGACTTGTGTAGTACGTTGATTGATAACCACAAACAGAGCTTTCCACTAGTCATAGGACACCATACAGGTGCAATTAACACATCAGACAGAGGCAGCGGAGAGAAAACAGCAGGTATGACGCATGATGGGTAGGACATGATTGGGTTTGAATATGAAGATGTTAATTATGGGAATGGATGTGTGGATACATATTCATCATATTCATTAAAGGGGATTTGGAGGCATCATGGAGGTCAAGAAGACAAAGGTTAAATATGTAATGAATACACAATGGCTTAGATTTTAAATCAGACCTTGTCACTCAGCTTTTTCTTATCTTTTCTTGCCTAAATAGATGTTTCTATTATGTTTTTTTGTTGTTTGTTTTTGCAGACTGAAACTACAGAGAGGCAGTTGAGAGACTTTAACTATTTGTGATTAAAAAAAAAAGCTGCATTGATGTAGTACGAGGCAACGTGCTGTCAGCGATCCAGTGTGTATCTTCCCAAAACGGCTGTTATTTTCTGAGTGACAGATTCAACTTGATGCACCAGTGTGGGCACGTCTCACCCTCACAAAGTATCCTTAACCGTGCTGATACTTCATCTTCATGTCCTCCTATGTAACAAAACACCAGCAGCACTCTGCTCTGTAAAACAAAAAAAAAAATGTCCTGCCCACATCACATCCTCAAAGCCCCCTTTTGGTCTGTGTGATTGAACAATTACCGCCATGGTTAATTTGCCATCAATAGGGACATACACTTGCATAGTTTACCAGCATGCCTACACAATGTTTACTTTGTCCCTTTGACTCCATCAAGAGGGTTTTCAGATGAAGTCAGTAGCACCGGGCAAAACAACTCACACTTTCATGGCAAAATGGTTTCCATCACAGCATGCGCATCACGCCTTTAATTTGTCTGTTACACGCCAGTGAAGAGCGAGCGTACCTAAGACAGCTGTTTCCATTTTTTTTATCAGGATCCACAAATTACTGGAATGGAATGGAAAAGCCACAAAGCTTGCACCATTTCTTTTTCAGAATCCATCTAGTTTTACATGCTGGAATATCATCCTGGAAGGTAATTATTGGTTCTTGTGAAATCTGTTTTTATAACTTTAATGCTCACATGCTTTTTTTTTTTTTTTTAAATCAAACATCGATTAATTGTCTCCATCGAATTCTTCAACTACAGTTGTTCAACGCTGATATGTTCGCCATTTACTTTCCATCAGGAAAAGCCGGGTATACATATATTTAAAAAAAAAAAAAAAGAGAGAGATATTACAAAAGTCTTTTTATTCCATTCACATGAAGTTGGCTCACAGATTGTGTTAACAGTAAAGCAATGTGACCTCACCTGAAGTGTCAGGTTCTTTGAAGCTACTGTAAATAAAGCAGTGAAGGGATAACACATTTGCCCCCCCCCCCGGGACAAATAAAGTTTTTTGAATTGAATTGAATCCTTTTCTCCACCAATGTATAATTAGATTGTATAATGACACATTATTCTGCCATACAAAGTTATTGAAATGTAGCTTGTGTGCATGACAACGTGGCATTACTAAGTTTGAAAACTCAAGATTTAGAGGAACATGACAGTAAAGTTGCTACCATACAATATTTCTAAGGTTTTAACTAAAAAAAAAAAAAAAACTCAACATAAACAGTCAATTTTTAATGATGTAATGATGTAGATATCTCAATTGAATTTATAATAATAAAATAAGTCAATGTGAGAGTGCTGTTTCTTTTTAAATATGACACGAGCTCTGTATTAGTAATAATAATACACTGAATCATTTAATAACTACTGCAGTGAGAAACTCCCATTGAGGTGTTTGAAAATTAAATAATTGTATGTAATGTGTTTAATTCCTGATGTAATGAATTACTTTTAGATTTATATATATTTTTTGCTTATAATATTAATTTAAAATGAATTGTTTTAATGACCGGAGGTTATATATTCTTTATGACGAGAACGGATTATACATTATCCTCACCACGTAATATTCCAATTCTTGTTATCTCCCTCCATTATTATTTCATTTATAATTACATCATTGGTTTCAAATAACTTGATAAGTAATTAATGCACTAATTGTGGAATTAATACAATGACAGCAATTTACCACTTTTAATTATGACATTTTCAAGTCTTCAGAGGGAGTTTCATTCTTTGAAGTCACTAAATCATCCTGAAGTTATTACATTACTGGAGGCTGCCAGCTCACTGCAGGACCCTTTGATCTGTTACACTGAAGAGCCAACCACTTCTGCAATCGGCCACAATCTAATTAGAGCGATCTGTGAACTAAAGACAATAGAAAGAAATAATCGTGTAGCTCTGGAATGCAGAAAAAAATGGATGACACTGTTTTCAATCAGTCGTGGGGTTCTGTTTGAGGTTATGTCGTTGCTTCCATGTGTAGGACTTTCATGGACTCTGCGATCATTGAGCTGGTGTCAATCTGTCCGTAGATACCCACTAAAAATGCTTTGTGGAGCAAGATGTCTGCGTGTTCTGTGAGGGGGGAAAAAAACACATTACAGCATGAAGCTGTGCTTCTCTGACTACAGTATGACTGAGCTTTTAAAAATCAGGCTGATAATACTGTGTGGTTATGTGTCAATAGAGAGAAACATGGGCTATAAGTACTATAGTCTTACCTTGACAGAGAAGCACATACTCTGGAAGATTGCGGAGAGCAGTTTGTACCACGTCAAAGTTACCGCTGCCCATACAGTACATGAAAGTTGGCAGGAAGTCTGTTGCTAGGCTGCAGCAAAGAAAACATACACTGTTATACGTCGAAATGTAAAAGGTGACAGATATAGACAGATGTGAAGGAGAGTGACAGGGATAAAGGAAGCATTTTTTCCCTCTCAGTTCCAGCATGCTACCTGATGGTCTTTTGTCCCAGAGTTATGGACACTTACCAGGGATTGTTCTGGATGCAGCGCAGGGCCAGACTGAAGGCCATGTTTCGACACAAGTCCTCAGACGAAGCCATGAGCCTCTGCAGGTCGTTCTACAAACAGTGACACGAGGCGGTAACAGACATGACACACACACACACACACTGATAGGTACAAGACTGTTTTTTTTTTTTTAAGTTGTTTATGACTCACAATGAAGTACTGGATGATCTCTGGGCTCCTCCTCGACTTCTCATCCACCTCTGTCAACACTTCCAACACATCTACAGCAGATGAGGGGGAAAAACAGCATATTACTCATAATGATGCAGGATTTATACATTTGAAAATTGCTGTAGCGGTATATTACTCACCCTCGACTGCCTCTCCTCTCGACATCTTTTTCAGGTACGTTGTCATGTCAGCAGCGCTCAGGGAAACCGTGGCAGATATGTTGACGAGGGGGAGGGAACCAGTGGCCATGTCGTCTGAAAAAGAACAACATAAATATTTACTGAGATGGAAAAAGTGCAACATTGGCTTTTAACTTAATATGTTACTAAATAACTTCAAGGTTGTTTTCTACACTTTAAATAGCGTGGATGTCATGAAATACTAAAATCCTCATGCACTTACCTTCTCCCTCTTCTGGTGTGACCTCTGCAGACGAACTCCTAACAGGCAGAGTGAGTCCGGCCAGCAGAGACTTTAACTGAACCAGGTCCGGGTTTTCAGCACACAGAGTCCTGGCAGGAAAAAAAAAAACAGCAAGATAAATAAATAAGCATTAATGCTGAAAACACAGTGAGCACAGTTTCCTGGTTGGTGATTTAATTGTCACATATTTATCCTTATCTATATTTAAATAAAAAAAATAAAAAAAACTTACTGCAAGATGCCAGAGTGCTTCTGTAAAAAGGGAATGGCAGCTGCTGCATCATGGGTAATGTACTTCTGTGTGAACTGCAAAAACTTGTTAATGAAGAGGAACGGAGACCGAGACCTCTGGAAGTTCTAAAAGAGGAAAAATGCGGAAAAATGTGTAAGCATGATGAACCTCTGATTCATTAAATCCACTCATTATAAATCATACTCTGATGTGTGAGGTTCTACCTACCTGCAGGACTTTCATAAAGGACAGAAGGCAGTCTTGAAGCGCCCTCTGGTGGTCGCTGTGGAAAACAAGGGGCTGCAGCAGCTCCAAAATGGCAAGTACATTACTAAAGAACATCATGTGGTTCTGCTGCCGAAACTCCTGCAAGTTGAGGTGAATGCGACCGCGTAACAGCCCTGCAATCATGGGCATGTGTCTGCAAACAAAAGAATGGAAAAATAGTTAGCAAGATGAAAACAGAAGATCTGGTGTTTGTAAAAAAAAAAAAAACGAAATGAGAAAATAGTTCCGCATTTTATACCTGAGCAAAAGGACAGGGTGGGACACAGCCAGCTTTCTGCATGCCAGGTTGGCATCAGAGGCTCGGTTCTCAGCAGACTTTGAGTCTCCGATATCAGCGAGGAGTGTGACCAGCCGATGCACCAGGACATCGAGCTGAAGAGAAAAACAATGCAGTAAGAATTATTCTTAGAGTCGTTCTTTAAGTTGTACACATTAGACAAAATTATTTTTGAGAAATCCCAATTTTCAGAATGAGGATTGATTCCTGTGGAGGGTGGATGGATGCAGCTCAGGTCTTTCATTACTTTTCACCTACTTAGTGATGCAATAGAACACTACTGTGTATTTTTACTCCTGCTTTTCCCTAATGGGCTTCACTTTCACATTTCATGTATTTAAAACCAGATATTTAACTTCATATTGGGACACTTTCAACGATTTTCCCTTGGAAGCATGACTTACAAAATGGAATCACATCTGCATGCTAATGGATGGACATGTTTACCTTGCAGCTGCTGCCGTACGCGGCCCCCCCGCTGCTGAAGGTGCCTTCAGGCAGGGTAACGTGCTGGATGACCTCCGGGAAGTGCAGATAGATCTGCAGCAGCAAGTTCTGGCACCGCTTACTCATCGCACTGAAGGACAGAAAGAATGAGCGAAACGAGATGTATGATACGGGAAGACGAGGCATCAACTACATGAATTAGATTTTAGGAAATACATTTCATTAATGGCTTAAGAGAGTGTAGCTGTCCATGGTAAAGAGAAAAGCTTAGTGGCAAAATAATCCAGAATGTAAATCCCTGATGTTGTTGAATTGTGTAGTTTGAAGGGATGTAAGTGACAGTGATTGGTTGACCGATTTTGTGTAGCTATAGAAACTTTGTCAGCTCAGTGATTTTAATTCTACAGTCACACTCCTGTTATAAAGCAAACAATGTTCTTAGTTTGGTCAAATTCACTCCCTCCCTCCCTTTGAACAGATTCAAAACACTTCAGATATCACTGAGCTGAGATAAGGGAGCACCATAAAGCACTCCTCTATTGTTACAGCCTCAAAGCAACATCATTAATGTACACTAATACAAACTAAGAACATCAACAGCGTAATGTAATTCACAAGCGTTTTCCTCTCAGTCACTGTGGTTTCATATAATCCTCAGAGGCTCTTGTCAGGCTTCAATGACGCGCTCTTTGCTAACTTTGGAGTTTATTCAAGCTATGAATTAAGAAAATCTGAACGACCTTGACCAAGAGGAGAGAAGCTGCTGGTTGCTCAACAGTTTCTGTGTAATTGGAATAAACACCAGCTTATCTGGGAGCAAGGTTGCACAAGAAGAATGCTAAACATTCAATCAAGTGTGTATTCAACACAAGGCCAAACCCCTTTACTCTCAACATGTTTTTTTTTTTTTTTTTTATCCCGCCATGTTTTTTTCCGCCAGCAACTATTTTACCAGGCAGCTTAGCTGTACTTAAAATACTGTAATTCGGGAGCTAATTTTGCTTGACCTTGGCCAAAGTTTCCTCATTAAAGTGGTTTAATAACCAGAGACATGTTCATGAAAGGAGGGTTTGACTCCACAAAGAGTTGCACCCTGATCTCTGACAGCTAAGTCAGAGCAGGAATTCACAACACAGGCAAGTTTAGAGCTTCAGCCTTAATCCTCTTGGCTTCATTATAATGCACTGAGCTTTTAAAGAGATCACAGTACAGACGACTTCTGCTGGTTTTAATTTCACACCAATAGACCTAATTATCGAGTTTTCCCTGGTCCACAGCAGTGCGGCTGACAGAGGAAGTCGAAAAAGTTCATCTGCGCGGCGAAAAGGAAATCTACTGCGATCTCCCCCAACTTTATCAGCACATGGTTTAGGAACAAAAAAAAAAAAAATGACTTTCTGCTAATTAGAAAGAACAATGCGACGTGTCCGAATGGAATGGTGAGCACTATAGTGAACCTTACATGACAAAATGTGATGAGCATATGTGTGTGAATGAAAGAGGAGTCTTCAATCCATTAATACACTACATGGAAAAAAAAACGCCTTACCTGTCCTCCCATTTCTTTGTGCAGTTGATGAGGTACTCCGAGACTTTCTTGATGTTTTCCAGCTCCCCGCTGCAGTAGGAGTGAAGGAGGGGCAGCCTGGACTGGATGAGGGAGCAGGAGGTCTGGTCCAGGCTGCTTTTGTCATCGTGCGGCGAGTCACGGCTGTGGAGCTCCGACTCCGACAGGATCAGGTCCACCAGGCTGATGAGCTCCTCTGAACTGAGCCGCAACACAAACTTTTCGGTTTTCTTCTGCACAGACAACAAAAAAAAAAAAAAAAAGGAAGAAGAAGAAATAAATCAGAAATGAACTCCCACAGACTTTAATCACACCATAAACACAGGGAAATATTTGTGAACGCTCCCATGAGGGATTTGGATCTTACTTGGGGGATCTTCTGGTCACGTCCTTGCCAGATACGCGGGATGTGGCTGCACGCCCACAGAAAATCCAGGGCAGATGACGGGTCAAGTCTGAAAAAACATAAACACACACAGTTCTCATAATCTCTCATGCTAAGAAACAAAATGCTCAATGCACCCTCAAAGGAACTAGAAAATGTTCCTCAACTAAGAACTGCACATTGATCAATTAATGTCATAAAATAACAGCTAAGAATAAAAGTGTTGTACTTGTAGTCTCTGCGTTTGCTGAGTAGAGCGCTGATACACTGCAGGAGGGTGGACCAGTTTGACTGATGTGTAAGCAACGCTAAAAGATAAGGCCTGTATGCAGGGGTCCCCCGTGCCTGGAATAATTGGAAAAGGATGCATCAGAAATGCAGAGCACACGTTTAGTAAGACAAGAGAACAAAACATTATCTGCAGGTGCATGTTTGTCTTACCTTGTTGAGGGCAAACAGAAGTTTCTGCTGAAGGTCTGGACACACCGACGTGACCTCAGGGTCCAGATGCTCCAGCCAGTCCACCAGCAGCCCAGAGCTCAGTCCTGACTTTGTCACCTCAGAGCTGGAGGCAAAGATGAAACCGAGAGGTTACAGATGCAACATCTTTTAATTCTTATTGCATTGATCTAGATCTAAAAACAACACATCCACAACACAGCTGAGCTTCATTTTTCACCCTGCATTCATTAAAACAGGGTCAACAGAAAAAAATGTGACTGTGACTCAGATGTGAATCTCAGCACTGTATGGGTAGGCATGGTAACACAACATGGACAAATGATTCCCCTTCTTGCAAAAACTGAAAATCCCAGAAATGTAAGAGGACTGAATCTAACAAAGGACTCATTATACACCACAAAGTCAGTGAAGTTGCAGTCCTGTTCTCTGTGTGTGTGTTCCCCCGTTGTTAGACTAGAGAAAATTCATTGTGCTGCTATCATACAGTCTTTGGCAGCTACCGGATATTTAAAGGAGGAGTGTTTACTTTCAGCGCATGAGTTAATGTCATTGGATTTATCGAGCCACCTTAAATGTCAAAATAATAACTGACCACTTGTGTTTATTTTTAACGTCTCTCCTGCATGACACCTTCGTGATGGTTGGATTTTCAAGCGCTCAAAAAAGTGTATATATATTTCAGCTGTATTATGATTATTACTGAAAATATTCTATTTGCGTGCTCAGGCCTGATTGGGCCTGCAGGCCAGTGGGGAAGTGGGGATTCAGGAGTGGGGACAATCAGGCTTTAACACGGGAAGGGGCTACTGGGCCTCGTGTGAGTGCATCCTTAGAGTAAGAAACGTATTCTACAAGCATAAACCCTGGTGGAGCATTATTTTAAGGTAAAGCCTTAATAAGGCGCAAATCACAATTCTTAATAAATCACAAATACAGGAAGCAGCTTGTTGAGCTTGTTGCTGAAACACTGAGCCATTAAATACAACACGTTTTGTAAAATCCATTTTGGTTCTACAATTCCAACTTAAAACTCGTGGAGACATCCACAACTGTTCTAACTTAGGAAACTGGACCTTCCGTGGTGCACCTGAATGCAGCACTAAGCCAAAAGTTAATGTTCAACAAGTGCTCAATGTTCTGGTTCATCAAAGCAAACAGATGCAAACATTTGACCAACAACACTGATTCACTTGAAAGCTATCTTAATGATACAAAAGGCTGACATGAGTAGTGACATGGCTTCTACAGTTTAAAGTAAACTCTCTTCTTAGAGTACACAGACAGTGTTGAACACACACACGTGCAATCACTTCGTCTAACTTGTACTTCTTAGAACAGAGCTTGTTTGTGTCACTGAACAACCTTTCACTATTTACCGGCCTCACTGGCACAATGAAAAGATTCTGTAATCTGTTCTGATTTTCACTGGATATGAAATGAAGTAAAGCTGCAAAACCAATTAAATCTTTCTGAACCAAATCAAATACCAGTTTCTGAGTACATGGCCACAGGCGGCATGCAAAGCTTTGGTATGTTTGTCACCAGCAGACCCTCTTTTTTTTTTCTTTTTTTATTCTTTCAGTCCTCTCAAATGTAAATGCTTCTTGCATGACTTGGAAGGGAAATAGAATTGCAGTGCTCACTTGTTAGAATCAGGTTCCTTTTTCACAGCTCGCTCCTCGCTTTCCGGAAGCAGCAAGGAAATCACCGTGGCAACAGGGCCAGCTGTCCCGTTCTGTGTACCAACAGTCATCAACAGAGACAGCAGCTCCTCCAGATATGGTGACCTCACCGCCATCAGGCCCTGTAACACTGGGAGACAGTCAAAACAGCACGGTTAGAAACGGCCCCACTATGATGGATTCTTTTCTAATAAAAGTCAATGATAAGAGTGGCAACATCTGTTTGCTTTAGTGACAGTGAACCTTTTTAATCACAACATTCACAACAGGGTTTTATTTTTAATTCAAGCTACCTCTTCTTTATTATATCAGTTTATTTTGATTGATTAGCACTTTTTGTCTTGTGTTGTTTATGCTGCTGTAAAAAACCCAAAGTGGTGCTGGAAGAAATCAATTGTAGGATTTCAAGTCTCAAAAATATATTCTTAAAAAAAAAATGTGATTTTAAATTTTAAAATTGAGCTTGATTAAAGAATTAAGTATTCTTACATTGAAAAATCGATTTGATTCCCAGACTCTGTCAGTTAATGAACTATTCTCCTAGTGTTTGAAACGTTAAATCTGATCTATAGTTCTATCAAAATCAAAGCACATTCACTTCCACACAATGACTCTTGTGAATACCTTTTCCGATGAGCTCCCCTTCTGCATTACATCGCTCTCCAGCTTTCAGCATTGCAATAATGGCTCTGAGTGGCACTTCAGTGTCTCTGTGATAAGCCAGCGCCTCAGCCAGGTGGAGGAAACCTGAGCGCACTGTATGCAGGGTAGACACAACGTGTCACTCGCTGTGTTTACAAAGGAATCTTCATTTGAGAAGATAAATGGATGAAGTGCTTACCATCGTTGTGCCTGTGTTTCTGAGAGTTCTGACCAGCGAAGGTTTTGAGCAAAGTCTTCAGTGGTCCCGCCTCCACAGTAGGGCTGTCTAACCAGAGCGACAACCCAACAATGACCTTGGAGAATAGCGAGGAGAAAGCAATGTCCTGCGGGACAAGACGCTGGAAGGACATCAAGCAGGAGAAAACAGAACATATGTTTTATATTTCAAGATGGAAGAACAGAAAATAACACATGCACTGACTGTCAGTGAGGCTTACCTGGTAGAGGTGAAGCTGACGCATCAGAGGACAGGACAGGGCGTGGTTGTGGTGCATGGACATGATAATAGGCCCAGCATGAGCGGATGCTAGCAGAGCTGCAATGGCCTGTAGGAGCCTGAAAGCCAACCCGGCCTGCTGGATTTGTCCCTGCTTGGCCCGCATCAACTCTTTAGCCAAGGCTTGCTGCAGGGCCAGAGAGAGCTGGCTGGGAGGGGGGCCATGCCAGTGGGGGTCCACATTTACGGGGAATATCTGTGGAGGCAAGGGTAATAGAAATAAGACGGTTTGACAAAGAAGAGAATGTGAAACAAGAAGAAACTCTTTCCATAATGGAAGTGGGAGAAAAAAAAGAAAGTTAATCTCACCTGAAGCAACATGCCAGTTAGATCATCGTCAGGCCCGACCGCAGGAAGCTGAGCGGCTGTTCTCATCTTCACAGAGCTTTGGGGCGTTTCCACGGTAACTTTGGCCTTACTTGTTTCAGCAGAATCTGTCAGGGAAGATTCAGTCAAAAAAAAGGAAATGGAATCATCAAGATTACGTTTTTGGAAGATTTCCTTTTTAGTTTCTTGAAAAACAAATATCCCTATGGCACAAGAGCTCAAGAGTAAAAATTAAAACCTTTTTTAGTACATTTAAAAAAATAGTGAGTAATACATTTTTTTTTAATTAAAACATTTTACAGAGAAAATGACTCAAATAAACAACAACTTGGAAGCTGAAGTCACCAACCTCTGTCTGGAGGAAGAGAAGAGCTCAGCAATGAATGAAAAGTGTGCCCCCCAGTGGCCCCTCGCTCATGCTGCACTTCAACCAGGTGGGCCATGTAGTCTATTTCAGGATAAATACGAAATGGGATAAATCATTAATATTTTCAAACTGTAAGTCTCAATATGAAACCTTCACAAATGCTTAATATCAGCACTCTTACGCTTGTCCATGATGCAGTCTTCCAGCGTCTGTGGCTCATGGGAGACCGCCTGGTCCAGGTACTGCAGGAGTTTACTCATGCTGGACACGGGAATGCCAAAGGACTGGACAAACAGCAGCAGCTGCTCAGACTCCAGATCGTGCAGAGCTAGGCAGAAACACATGTTGGTTTGTTTGGTTTTTTCCCCATTAAAATATAAATATTGATTATAGGGTAAAAACTTCAGAAATTCTTGTTCTATGGCAAGTCATACCTGCATCAACCAATCGAGAAACCTCTGATCGGATCATCCTCAGTTTCAACCAATCAGGCAGCAGTAGAGCCTCTTCTGATGTGTCGACCAGGAAGGCGGTGGGCAGAGGTTTTTTGTCGGGAAACCAAATGTCCAAAAGAGCGTAGAAATCACTCTCTCCTTCAAAAAAAAAAAAAAAAAAAGAAACACCACAATGGTAAAAAAAAAAAAAAAAAACATGTTCTTAAAGCTCATTTAAAAAAATTGCAAACATGGATCTGTGATGTAATCAGGACTACCTTTGGGTGGCCCAAGAGTCAGCAGGATGACCATGGCATGGACTACAAGAATGTGCATCGTAGCAGTCTCTCCTGTGGTCCAACGCAGGAACACCTGGTCCTGAGATTCTGACTGAAAAGAGACAGGAAAAGTGCTCGTCGTGTTACAAATATTCTTAAAAGCCTACAGTGATTATCTTGAGTTCAGTTTTTCACCAGCAGATGACATTTCAGTGAAAGGATCAAACTGAGTGAGTCATGTTGTTAATGATACAGTTAAGTCAAGAACCCATGTATGGCCATTGCTCACCCAGCTGTAAAGATCCTCCCCCTCTTTGGTCTTCCTCATCCTTTTGATGTACGTAGAGAAGATGGTGAGAAAGGCACTGAGCACAGCGTCAGACTCGGGCCTGCACGAGTGTCTGGAGAAAAGGCTGTTCATGATGGTGGAGCGCTCGACGATAAGTCTGGCAACATCCTGCGGGGGAGGTGATTTTTAAGATTAACGTCAGGGCCGCTCCACAAAAAGAAAAACAAATTCAAGAAAAGCGCGCCGTGTTAATATCATTTACAACAACTCAGCGTGATTACCAGAGCCAGGTCGTTATGAGAGGACTGCTCCTCCACTGGTGCATGCTGGGATAGGTAGATGAGATAGGCACTTATAGTCTGCGGATCCGTCTCCATGTGGATGGCCTTAAAGAGAGCAGATGTATCTTCATGAATATTTTTTTTTAACCATAACAGCTTTGCATACAGTCACACTTATTGACCGTGTAATCACACACTTACCTGTTGCAGAGCAGTGGACGTCATGCCTCTGACGCTGTCAAACAAAGGGAGCTTGGGCAGGTCTTGTAGCAGCCACTGATATCCCGGCAAGAGTTCGGCATCTGCGGAGTCTTCTTCCATCGGCTGCTCCCGCTCCTCTCCGTCTCTCAAGCCTCCTTCTATCAGCACCAATGACAAACCCTAAAGACACACATTAAATGTAAGTGGATTCTCGCTTTGTAATAATATGGAGCTGAAGAGTTCTGCTTCCAATTTAAATACCTTTATCGCTAGCACTCGTGATGCCACCTGAGAGGAGCTGAGGCGACGAAGAAAGTAGTCCAGCACTTCACACGTCGTCTGCTCGTCAGCCTTAGGACCCAACAGAGATCCTGCAGCCGCCCGAGCAGCTGCCTCTGTTTTTGTTGTCTCTAACGCAGCAACAACAACAAAAAAGTCAGGGTTAGTCAAGACTCACTTTAGAACAGATAAAAGCAGCAAATGTGTGTGAATAGATAGCGTATCAGTTTTGCAATGTAAGCAAAACAGCGATCGCAGATTAGTCGTTAAGAAAACAGGACAATTTGAGTAATTAGTGTGAGCAAATGGTAAGGTATTGTCTTCTGTCAACATACTTGTCGCTTCTTTTGTTTCTGCTCTTTGCTCTCTCCCTCTTCATCGTCCTCTATCGGTAAACTGTCATCAGCAGCGTCATGCAAAAGAAATTCGCAAAGGCACTGCACTGGAAGCACATCCAAGGACCCCTCACTGGACTGGACCAAATCAGCCAACCACGGCATGGACTGAGACGAAGCCTGGGAAGAAATCAGAATGTGCTTTAGTTACAGGAAACACACTGCAGGCAATAATAAAGAGGATAAAGGATTTTTTTTTTTCCATCAAAGTTGTTCCCTGTTTTAATCCAAAGTAAATACAGAACAAGCTCAAAGATTTTCGAGACCCAAAAAGGGGGGCCTGAAGAAAAAGTCTCAGAGCAGTGTCGCTGATATTTTGCAGCTTGCGAATTTTAAATGGTACGCAGGAGAAAGATATGCGAGTAGGTTTGAGGCATTACCTGTCTCTGGATGATGTTGAGGAGGAAGTCAGGGTTGCGGCTGCGGCAGAGGAGATGTCCCAGACGCAGGGACTGGTTTAGAGTTTTTACCTGCTCCTGGATCTGAGGAGGAGGTCGGCGAGAAGGACCCCTGAACACAAACACCGAGTCAATCTTCCACTCAAGCAGCTGTTGGCATTGACAGCTTCCTTGCTTTATTCAAAACAGTACTGTGCAAACTCACAAGTTGTATACAGTCTCAATGAAATTGAAGTCAGTTTCCCCCCTTCTATCTAATTTTCTGCTAGAGAGAGTGTGTTCATCTAATAGCTACAAGTTGCATGAAGTCATTGGTCTTTCTCTCTTACTGTGGATCCAGACTGGTAAGCTGAGACAACAGCAGGCTGTTGCTCTCTGTGATGGTCTGTTTGGTGGAGGCTGCAGCCAGGTGGCTCTCAAAGGCCAGGATCTCTTGTTTCTCTCTCTGGGAGATCTGCAGCTCCCTGTTGATCATCTCCGTCTTTGTGTCCTCATCCGCAACCGTGCATGGAGGGTAGGTATAGTTACTGCAGCGGCAACATACAGAGATGTGTGTTAGCTGATCAGCAACGTCCACTTTACTTACTTTATTTACTTGATTGTAAACTAAGATGTTCACCTACTTTGTCATAACCATCTCCATGAGCATCTTCAGTGTAGGATAGCCATCCCATGCAGCCATACCTAAAGGGAAGAAAATGAAATATGGTGTATAAGTACAAAATGATTAATATCTTAGAGCAATTCATTATATAGAAACAATTAAAAGGGATCGTTGTACCTATTTTCTGAGGATTAAACGCAGCCACCACAAGCAGCAGCAGCCATGCCTTCCAATACAGTGTAGATATTGCCAGATTTGGCGGTTGGTACCTTAATATTAAGATCCATTTGTTATTTCAGGTTGTAAACTGTGATTTAAGAGCACTTTCAAAGCCAGAGAAGACAGATGTGTTACCCTGCAGGCAGCTGGATGTTCTCTGGGTGATGGTATGTACACAGATTCAGCACTGCGTCAATGAGTTGGATCCTCTCCACTTTCACGACCTCCAGATCTGCTCAAACAGCAACAGTCAGCGTTACTCAAATGTATACATCAACAACTCCTGCGAGGGAGTTCATATTAAATATCTAACTTGTGATGAATGACGTTCACAGTTGGGAGCGCAATGGTCACACACCGTCAGACTGAACTCCGGCAGCTCTTTTAACCAGGTGGTCTGCCAGCTCCATGGCGTCGGCCGGGCCCAGGGGCAAATCACGGGACAGCCCGATCACCAGGATACGCATCAGTGTGTCCTCCAGCAGAGGCACCTCGGAGCAGAGGCGAAGGAAGAAACTGTAGAAGTAAAAAAAAAAAAAACATAGTAAGGTAACAGTTAAACTGCAGACAGAAAAAAGGACAATGCAAAAAAAAAAAAAAAAAAAACTCACTTTCTGTCACTCTCTGGAGGCCAGTTGTCCCACTTGTAATATGTCTCAGGTTGCTCGGTGAAAAGCACTTTGTGAAGGCTGAGGACATGGAAAAGAGTGATTATATATAAAGTACCTGGACACATGTTTGACCTGTGCACATTTAACACATCAGAGATTCACAGTAACTGACCAGTGAACGTAGTCTTTTGCGCCGACTTTGCTGATCGTAGGAACGACAGAGTGAAGCCACCATACAGCGTCTCTCTGGATGGAAGCTATTTGATTCTGAAATGACCTCAGGGCCTCCAGATCTGGAACAAACCAATCATGTGTTGAAGGCAAAGCTGATTCTGCTTATTGTGGTTAAAAAAATATATATATTAATAAAAAAAAACAAAAAAAACAGCACTAACTCTTCTTCTCTCCTTTGTCCCAAGCGACGCCAGATTCTTTGACCTGAGCGGTGATGCCCAGCATCATTGAGACGGTCAGTAAATCTGTCACCTGGATGACAAAACGCTCCTGCAGAAGAGACGAGGATGAACAGTTCAAAGTCAAGTAAAAAATCATGAAAGCAAAAGAAAAGAATTGGGATTGCTGTTGAATCTAGATTTACTTTGAACTCCATGTCCACATATGTGGCCTCCTTTCTCTCTTGCATCAAACCAAAGCAGAAGGACTGGAAGTTGATCTCATGTTTGGTCTGTTTGATGATTTCTCTCAGCAATGCTCGGGAGGCGCGGAGGTAATCGTCCTTATTTGTCAGCAGGTCCTGGAACACCATGGCCAAGAACTACACACACGATGGGAGAGGGGGAGAATGTGACACGACACAAAAAACAAGTGGTTAAAATCGCAACATCTATTCTTCGCCCTCGTTATTCCTCATAACTTCATTCACATCACCTTTGGGCCCTGCTCGGGGCTGTGCTGCAGCACTGTGTGCAGGACTTGCATGTTGTTTGGATTCCGGGCATTGGACAGCTCGTTGAAGATCACCAGCTTCACCATAGTGCCTAGGTTGTCTCTGTGTGCATTCAGCAGCTCTCTGGAGAATCGACAGCCGAAGCACCAGTTAGTGTGAGTCACTATGAGTCACAGCCAGTTCACAGTCAAAACATGAAAAGCTCCACAGACCTGACACACAGCATGTAGTGGTTGAGGAGGACTTTGGGTTTGAGGCGGATCTTGATCAGGTTGGAGATCACCTCCATGTCGTCCGCTCCGTGGCTGTTGCTGTTCATGCACAAAGACATGAGGAGGTCTTGAGCGGGTCGCGTCAGCTGTTCAAACACAAAAACAAAGAAAGTGAGTCTCAATAGAGTCATCCCAATTCCTCATTATTTCATTAAAATTTACCATCAACATAAAAAAAAAGACAACGCACAAAATGTTTAAGACAGATTTGAGTGTCTCTTCCTTTTAATCTGTGATTCATAGTTACAAATAATGTAATACAATGTATCACAATGTTGATACCAGTGTAGTAAAAGTATCAAATGCATCTACAATTAAAAACCACTGAGATGTTTAAAAAAATAAGCATTGTGAGTGATTTATTCCAGGACTATCTGGTACTTACCTTTGGGTTCTGGAGCCACATCTCCAGCCTCTGCACGGCCATGAGCCGCGCCTCTTTGTAGCCACACGTGGCCGTGAGCAGACGCAGCAGGTTCCGGGACACGTTGTCCATCGGCTGCCTTCGGTTCAGCTGATCCCTGAGGACATCCAGCACATAGTCCTCCACGCTTTCTGCCAGTTCTTCATACCTACAGCGCGCCAGAGGGGAGAAGAAAAAACATCACCATCCAAGGACACTTCAATAATTAGTTATACTGGTAAGATTATCAAAATATCAAAAATGATTTCTTCTAGAACAAGGAATGCAAGTTGTTGTTTTTTTTTTTCTCAAGAAGGTAAAAGTTTAAAGGTGTTTCAAACTGTAGCATCCCTCGTTTCTATTGGGTAGAGTCCGTACCGAGGCATAACCTGTCCATCATCCTCAGGGCTGAGTTTCTCCTCTGCTATCAGCAATTCAGTTTGGCTGTCGTCCTCATCGGGGGTTGAGGGATGAGGGCTGCTTCCTACAAAAAGACAAAACAGACAACACAAACGTCGTATCAGTAATTGCCTCCATTAAACAATCCTGAGTGTTTTTTACAAAGTGACTGTACCTGCACTGAGATCTCCACCAGAGCGGCCAGTGTCGGCCTGCAGCAACATACTCTTAGGAGGCATCTTTGTCCCAAAAGCTGTCTGAATGTTTTCCACAAAGATTTTACAGTGAGAACTGTCTACCCAGATTCTTTCCCCCAGAGAGTCCTCAATGTACACCTGTAAAAAAAAAAAAATAAATAAAAACAGATTGATTGATTACAAAAATGTAAAACTTAACAATAGAGGTTTAACAATAGCAGTACAGAAGAAGGAATTGATACTACTTTGAGTGTCAGAGAGATTCTTACTTTCACAAAGATCTCTGGCCAGTTCTCGTCCTCCTCGTAGGCCGCCATCAGCAGATTGCATGCAAGAACGGACACAAGGCTGTTCCCCTTTGCTTTGAAGTTGATTGAAGCATCCCGGCGCAGGAGGCTGCACAAGGCCTAGAAAATCAGAAAAAAAAAGTTTAGACTAATTCCAACATTTGTAAGGTTCCCTTTTGAGTAGATATGCAAGGCTGAAAATGTGATTTACTATCAATTCCTCTAGTAGTTAGTTACACAACTTTATAGCAAAGGATTCCTAAAGACATCTGTTGCGAATAGTTTATTGTTATGCACCATTAAAAATAAAGAACGCTCTAAACTGTTAATGAAGCAATGATTGAGTTTCCTTTTATGAAGTGAATCATTTAACAACTTTCTTCACCTTTTACAAAACTGCCAGCTTCAATTGCAAAATAAAAATGAAGATAAGGAAGCATTTTCGCCGCAGTGATATTATATCTGTGCTATACAGCATCCCGAAACACACCTCAATAATTCCTTCAGTTGCAAAAACATTGGGCTTGATTTTGGCAAGGAACATGAGGCTGAGGTACAGAGTGATGTCGGGCTTGGCTCGGTTCAACTTGAGTTGTTTCACTGCTCCACACAGCAGTCCCTCGATGCGATCGTCATTTCCTTCTGACTCCGCAGCTTCAATCTCATCCAGCAACACTGCAGGTGACACTACATATAAAAAAAAAAAAAAAAAAGAGAGAGCAACAATGATGAAATATAAACCTTCTTTCTTGTGATCGTTTTGATGTTTCACAAGTTTTCCGAAATCAAGAGTTCTTTTTTCCATTTACCTTCGATAGGTACGACTGACGGCTCTTTTATCGAGGGTGATATTGCCCTCTTGTCCACAGCAGCTACATCAGCCAGTCGTCCCAGAGCACTGACCGGAGGGGTGGTTGAGAGTTTGGGTCGCTTCGTGAGGCTCGACAGGCCCGATGAGGAGGGCAGGGCGGAGGAAGTGTCTCTCTTGCGATCAGTAGGTAGACCTGACGCTGCTGGCTTCAGGAGGACAGCGGGGGCTTTGGGCTCTCCACCCTGGCTCTTTGATCCAAGAGCAATAAAATCTCCAGGTGGTGGGTGACCTTGGAAACACAAGATGTCACAAAAAGTTGTCATTTATTTTCTTATTTACCACTAAACAACACTAAGATGAGGCTGGTGTTGATGTTATACCTGATGGTTTTGCAGCACTGGGGCGCCTGATAGTTGTAGGCTTTGGGCGATTCATCTTGACTTACAAGCACAGGCTCAAGCACGTTGAAAGGGGGGGGGCATTTCCTAACCTTCAATTTTCTGTGTAAGGAAAAAAAAACAACCAGATAATTCAGAATGAGCAACCAAAGTCAGATCACCGAGGATGAAGTTTGTAGCAGCATTATTCCACTTTCTGAGCTCTTACAATTGAATAACTGATTACATGGCAAGGGAAACAACACTCGCGTTATATGAGTAGCAAACACACTTTGTTTAGACTCAGCTGTCAGCATTAATGTTGTTGGTAAAGAAATACAGCAAGAGCTACGAATGAGGCTGCTAGCTATTTTTTGCTAGCTTTAGCTTTTGTCAAGCGCAGCACTGACAGTTTACAGGCGTTAACAAGCCTAAAAGTTACCCAATTTTAATGAAAAAAGGTGCCTTACATGTTTATTCAGTGACATCCGTTTGATCATTATTGGCGTGGATAAAGCACTTTCAACAAAAATCCACGTTTGCTGGCTCTATGCCTTCAGACAACAATGATGGTTTCTTCTTCTCTGAGTCCATGTAGTTCACTCACAAACACTGAAGTGTGTAGCGCCCTCTAGTGGTCAGATGTAAATATCACCAGACCACTAGAGGGGAAATATCTTCGTTTCGTTTTAGCCCTCCGTTCGTTACAGACTGACTTAGACTTAGACTTTCTTTATTGTCATTCAAACTTGTACTTTACAGTGCAGATAAGAACGAAATTTCGTTGCATTTGGCTCGTTGTAGTGCAGGATAAAAACAGCAGCATGTATTTACATATAAAAAATAAAAATAAGGTGCAGATATAAATAGATATAGAAAGAAAAGAAACTAAACACCTAAACACCTTCAAACTAAAGTTGGTGCATAATTTCCCTCAAGATACCAAAAACTGATGAGTCATCTTTATTTCTGATTTAAGTTTCTACTTCGCCTCGTCTGTACCTTCCTCTAATATTTCATTTTGTCTATTTAACTTAGGCTATGTCTTGATGTTTCTGCAATTGATGGTTTATTTTAATAGCTAATTGCAATTCCCTGTTGTCAACCAAGACTGCATTGGGCCAACCAGCCTAACTAATTCTTCTTTTATAGGTTATACGTTTTAAATATTGTAGTTTTACGGAAGTATGTTTGACACACAGCCGTTACCTACAGTAATTTAAATAATGTAGGATTAACTAGCGGGTATTTTCTCATTGGAGGCTTGTCACGATTATTATTATTATTATTATTATTATTATTATTATATCTTGCTAATGTTAATCATTGGCATTATGGCCGATGGCCACTGGGGGGCAGTGTAAGCAGTCACTGAGTAGGCTTAAACTACAAGCGTAGGCCACTTATATTTATTCTAAAGATAGACATAACAGAGCCTAGCATTAGAAACCTACGGAAGCGTATTGCATTCATGTGGTTTCTTGTTATTACGAGATAAAGATCTCGTTGTAACGAGATAAAGATAAGTGATACGTATAAGTGATACGTTTATGAACAAATTGCACTTTCAAATTCAAAGCGGAACTTTAAGAGGAAGTATTTAGAGCCGGCATAACTGGACCCCCAACTTTAACACTACCTTTAGAGGGTCAATTAATTGAAGGTAGAACGCTCCTGAGCATCGAAATACAATAACGACATGAAGAATAAGTACAAAATCTCTGGCTCCAGTTTCTTCAAAGTGGAACTGTTTTAGTGCAGGGGTGCCCAAACAGTGGATCGCGATCGACAGGTAGATCGCTGACTGATTCTCAGTCGATCGCGAGATGTTTAGTCAATATAAAATACAATTGTAAAATAGAAAAGTGATTTCAATTTCATCTCATTGCACTGTTTCCCACACACGATACCTGTGTTGGGAGCCCAAGTATACTTCCGACCTGTGTGTATTTATTTTTTTATTTATTCATGAAATTGCTGCGTGCATGAGAGAGCGAGCGAGCGAGCGGGGGAGCGAGAGAGAGAGAGCGCAAGAGAGAGTGCAGGCATGCGCAATGATGTGCAGGTAAAACCGGGGGGCTAAATGTTTTACCAAAAAGTCATATATAGAAACTATGCTACGAGTATTAAGCGCATTTGATGAAGCTGCAGCTACTTTTCTCTGCTCCTCTCTGCTGTCATGACTGTGAGCATCGCGGGGGACGAGACACACCAACAAACAGCGCACACGCACACGCACACGCACACGCACACACTTGCACTGGAGCGCCAACCACCACGCGAACCTTTTTACTTTTTACTTTTAGTGCTACACCACACAGTTGATCCGTGATCCGTACAGACCGAGGCGGGAACACACGTGACCCGGTCAAACAGTCGGTTGGACTTTACTCCGTTCACTCTCACCGTGTCTGCAGCTAATTTAACAAAAGCAACATCATCTCACAGCAGCCTGCTGTAGTCTGTGAACATCTCCACACAGATTAAAGTTGTTTGTTGTAAACTAAATTAAGAGAAAAACATATGTGATATAAATACAAACGTAATATTAAAATGTAGCCTACCCTAAAATAAGAGTTTTTAAAAAAGTATGTCGATATTGCATTATTTTTTAAAGAACTCTCATTTATTATATCTGATATTATTTTCTGTTTGTTGTGTGAGTATTAAATGCGTTTGTAGGCTGTCGGTAAAGGCTATGGCTCACTATGTGGACTGGTAGATCTCTGCAGACTGGCAACTTTAAAAGTAGATCTTTAAAAGCACCCCTGTTTTAGTTTCTCTACTCCTCTATGACAGAAACATGGATATCTTTGAGTTGTGGACAAAGCAAGACATTTGAGGACTTTATCTTTATCTTTAGGAAACCGAGAATGAGGTTTTTCACCATTTTCAGACAAAAAACAACTCATAGATACATTTTTTTAAAAATCAACAGATTAATCATTAATGATAGTAATTGTTAGTTGCAGCCTTAGTGTACTTATTATACTATACTGCCCTGCTACTACCCTAAGTCCTAATCACAAGAAAGAACACCCAGAATTATAGTGACTAACTACAAATTCTGTGCTTTTTTCATAAGCAGCCAACCTACTTATAGCTGAGAGCGTATGTAACCTCGTAGGAAGAGATGAGTTTGGATGGAGGTTGTTTTCTGCCATGGCTAGGCAACAAATGTCAAAGACTGTCTTATCACATGGATATGGGCCTCTCAGAAGGCATTCCTCTCTGCAGATCTGAATCTTTTGTTGAGACACCTCTTTGAGGGAGTGTGTACAGCATCAGTGGACGTCCACCAGGAGACAGCTGTAGCTGTTCCAGAGATGGACAACTTCCTGCAATTCTCTCTGGGAAGGACAAAAAAGGTTATCAACTCAAATATAACTCAAACTCAAATTCTGTATTTGTGGTCCGTAATGTTGGCAGACAAATATCTTACAAAGTTTTTTCTTTGTCCTGTATAGTACACCGTATAACAAACCAGAATGAGGCTTATGCCGAATGGTATTCCTTACTAGGTTATTGAGAGGAATAGTTTGAATCACTTTTTTGACGCTGGTGAAGACGCATGGAGTCAAAATGTTATTATAATGAAAAAGTTTGATGCCTTTAATCCGTGTGCTCCACTATACTTTGGACCAAATATTTAAAGTTTTTCCCGTTATATGAATCCCTTTATTTGTATTGCCAAATTGAAGTAAATCATACTTTATTGATGAAATCAAATCTATGACTGATTTTATTGCTTAATTTAGGTCACACGAGGTAAACACGTTATGGATTACAGAGTAGGCCTACCTGCTTAAATTGTGATGTTCATGTAATAATGTTGATTACTGGAACTCTCTAATGACCTGTGATAACCTGATTAGTTGTAGGCTAGTTGCTTAGTCTCCGAATTGCGCAAAAATCCGCATTCAAAGAACTTAAACTGTAGATCATTCGCCTCCGCAGGAAAATCTGTCTCCCCAGCAATGTAGCCTACTTGTTTGTTTGTTTGTCTGTTGTTGTTAAATAAATATACAATAATAAGAAAATATGGAAGGTTATGCGAATCACAATATAGTAGACTGTAGCCTACTTTCCAAATAAGAAGTCTCCCCTCCTCGATCAGTATTTTCCTTCTTAATGAGACGCGGATACAGGCAAGCAGGTAAGCACATCATTTTGTGGTATTGAAATGTGCGATGCAATATCAGGTGGACAGCGCCTGGTGCTGAAATTATAGACACATCAAGCAACAGAGCATGTTTGTTGAGAGGGTTCATAATCAATGCATGGCATTATGCAATATGGCACTATGGACAAGGGCAAGATAACACTTAAATCATAACATTTGGAGGCCAACTGGTGGCTTCTTAACTCAGTTATCTCAAGACATGAGAATTGTATCAGATTCTTGTCCAAAAAGTCTCCAGAAAAGTTGTCTGAATCTTTGACCTCTTTAAACATGTTCATCCAAAACTGTGCCTGTTGTTTCCTTAAAAATCCCCACCAGTTCTCAATGCGCTGGTTATGATTGCTTGACCCATACAAATAGCACATTGGAGCAAATTCATCAGCATGATCATTTCTCAAGAACATTTGCATCTGCTCCATGTGACCGTTCTCTGTTCCCATGTCCGACCGAATCCTGGTAGCAGTTCCATTTCTTGTTGCCACTTCTTCCATGAAGTATCCAACGACGACCTTGGGATTGCTACTTGTAGAATATGCATGGAGCCATATGACCAAACGTGAAAACCCGTCGATTGCACCGTTAATACAGATCCCATAGGGTTTCAGTTCAGAAATTCGGACCTGGTTTTTGGTATAGGCGCCGTCGCAGGCGATTCCGGCGCCGCAGCTGAACTCCATGGGCATCCAGTATTTTCAGCAAATGCCTAATCGTATTTTGAGTCACCACATAGCCAGCTTGAATGCATTTCAGATGCATTACTTTATATCCATGAAGCATACTGTATTTATTCAACTGATCCTGGAGGAGTAACGCAATGTCAAGTAGGTCAGAGTGTACTTTCCGTCTGAACAACCTTAGCGCCTTCAGATGCCTGCGCAAAGTTGACAAGCTCATGATAATACCATCTATGTTACTCAAAGACACTAATATTTCCCAATGTCTTAACCCAAGATGGAAATAAAATGCAATCATATCAATAACCCTGGTCATCGTTGCCTTTTGATCTTCCTCCCTCCTCTGCCTGCCACAATGCAAACTTCATTACCCCTCTAGTATCTTTTTAGTCTGTTATGTGATCTTCTCTCGTTATAACGAGCTCTTTATATCGTAATAACAAGATCTTTAACTCGTTATAACGAGATCTTTTCTCATTATAACGAGATCTTTATCTCGTAATAACAATATCTCCACATGAATGCAATACGCTTCCGTAGAAACCCCTTTCTGACCCTTCAAAGAAAAACGTTTATATAAAGATGAGTAGTTACGCAATGTGACCGGGAAACAACATACAAATAGCCTACGTGATAGCCTATTTCATAATGTTTGCAGCCACCGGTGCTTTTTTGATACCTCAAAAGAAAAGAAAACTCAAGTGAAGTGATTCTAACTGTTTTTCTATAAATAAATAAAAAGTAACTAATTAATCTGATAAACTAAAAGTGGAATCATTACCTTTTCTCTTCTGGAGAATACAAAAGTCTAAAAATAAAAAATAAAAAAATAAAAACATTCTGACGAAGGTTGTGACAAAGCCTGCAGGGTTTTTTTTTGTGCTTCTCTCTCTTTCCATTTGAGAACACAAGATTCAATGTATTGCCAAGAAAAACAGTCACTTACCTTTTTTTTCCCTCAATACCAATAATTTACCACAAGGGGGCAGCATTCTCCATACTGCTTCATTAGGGTGGTCACTGTTTTTCAATGTGCATGGTAGGAGTTTACAATCTACTGTGTGCAAACACATGGACATCAATTCTAACCTAACAAAACAACATTTCCAACTTCCATCCAAACAGAATAGGCAGCTGTGATAAAATAGCATCACTGTGTGGTGAGTTTGTCAAAGACCCACCACACGTTCAAAAAGGCACTGAACTGTTATAAAATGAGAAAAACGTAACATTCATTGGTCACTCTCCCATGCTTCCCACTCTCTCACACAATTCCATTCGACATAAAACACTGACACAAAGTTCACCGTCATATCCAATACACATGGGAAACAAGATGCAGATTTTTTCAGTCTTAAGTCATCAACGAAGTTCATGATGATGATGAGTCACACAATTAAGCAACGCAGAAACAAGGTTTCCTCGGAAATTACAGGGTACATGATTTCATCCCTACGACTGTATTCCCCCATTAAAGTATTCCTTAAAGTCAGAGTATCAAAGCTTAGCCTTAACAATGTTCATTTTTAGCCATGCCTATGATCACATTCAGCTATTTGTTAAATCATTTTCCATTTCTAAGCACAACCACACTATCATGTAAAGATAGGGTAACTATAGCAACTTAGTCTTAGCTGATTTACAACCTGTGTGGTTCTTGCTTGATAACTTATAGTCTATATACATATAGTCAGTAAACAGTTGACCAGGGCTTCCTCCAGCTGCTACCACTACTACTGTAACTACACCATGTTCCTTTCCATGGAGCGCCGACGTGCCAGCTGGTTACGTAAAGTGTTTTCATATGAAACAGATTCTGGTGAAGTCAGTGGAATGTTCAGTCAATGTTCCAAATTAAATCTTGTCTCAAATGGGAAGTCTTCAAATCTGTAAAAACAATCCTTTCTACTTTTGACATTACGTACTGTGCCACAGGCAGCTGTCTAATGTGTCAGGCCTTCTTAGTTAGAGTTTCCTGATCCATGTGAAAACACTGGGGGGAAGGACAATTAAGGTGTTTTTTTTTTATCTGGTGTGGGGTTTGTTTGGTTCATTGGTAACGCTATCCCTTCAGTTTAAAAAAAAAAAAAAAAAAAAAATCCTGCATGGTCAATATCAGTCTTTAACTGGCTAATAATTTGGAGCATTTGGGACGAAACATAGGTCCTTTTGCAACAGGGGGCCTCTTTGTGCTAGATCATATTTCTGAGTTCAAGAGTCTGAGTCACAAAGAAGCCAGATTAGTGACTCAAAGTTACTTCCTGTAATCCTAAACGACCTGTGAGAAGCACAGACCCCACAGCTCGCTGATTTCTAACGCGCACCCTGAGCAATCTGCCACACATGCTCCTCTGTTGTTGTTTTGTCCGACACAATGGGTATTTCAGGTCATCCGTGGACACTGTGAGCAGATGGACAGTAATTGGATGGTGTTGCTTCCACTGAACAGCTGGATGTCTGACTGATGGTGGAAATCAACGGGGGTCCTAAAAGAATCTTAATCTCAGCACTTTCTCTTTCTCCATTGTCAGCAGATTGAGAGGCAAATAGACAACAATCAGACAATACAGCAGTTATTGTTTCTGTTCATTGATTTTGTTTGGTTTCTGGTTTTCATTTTCTGCACTGTATTTCCTCTCAACTCAGTTGATCTCACTGCATTCTCATCTGGTTACATGTCATTGGATCTAACTGAATGTAATGAAATCCCATCTCCCCTCTTAAGTAGTTTTAGTATGACTAAAATCTCACTGCTATCATCATCTTCTTTTATCTCTGATGTCATTTCATCCCATGTTACATACTCCCGTCAACTCTCATTTCATCTCATGATGTAATCTCTTATATTATGACAACTAATCTCATTTAAACTCACATCGACTTTCTTCTAATCCACTGCCAAACCATCTCTAATCTCTTTGAATGTCGTTGATCTCAAACATTCTCTCGTTGTTTAAGTGTGTTCATGTCATTCCATCTCTTCTTTTTTTTATCACATTTGTTGTCTAATCAATTCTCACCACATCCTATTCTCACTACTTTTTTTTAAATCTCTGATGTAGGGTTACTTAATGGAACATCATCTTAATTCGTCATCTTTATCAATTTGATCTGAATTCATCTTGACTGAAGAGTAATCTAATAAAATATTCTTCTTAATCCATCTCATGTACCAACTAAACTACTATTTTTTTATTAGTGAAAGTCATAAACCCTTATATGTAGAAATACTCAGTTACAAGCACTGAAGTCCTGAATCAAAAATCGTAATATTAGCATCAGAACATTCTTATAGTAAATACATAAAGTACTTATTACATAGAAAGGCTAGATTTAGAAAATATATTCATAATGTAAGAATAACTGATGTTGCAGCTGGTGAAACTCTGACTGGCTACATCATACAATTCCCACAGAATTGGGAGTTCATCATATTATATAAGTAGTATCATATATGTATAATTTTTTGGGGAAAAAAACCCTGATAGAAGTGTGATGAAAAATAAAATGTATGTAGTTCCTGTACATCCCTGATTCTCAATAAGACCCAATAAGAACAGTTTAACCCAACACAGCCTGTATTCAACTCATTAGAGAAAAGCTGCACACAGGAAGTGATGTGGTGCTGTTGCTTGTGGTCAACATGTTTGTGACACAAGCTAACCAGATAACAAATCCGGTTACTCACCCACTTCAGTTGTTTGACTTTTGATTTGAAACATGCTCCACCTGCAGATGAAAGAACTAACTCCATCATCTCTGGTAACAAAGTGATTCCACATGGGAGTCAGGGGAAGAGCTGGATCTGTTGAGTCATTAGCCGTAAACCACGACACAAAGCCTCCGTCTACGACTGTCTGGGTGTGTGTGGCACAGAGCCGAAAAGAGAATCAAATTCCAGGGAGTCTAAGGTTTTGTTGGAATCGTGCATCATTTCTGTTTTGGACTCAGAGTGTGGTCAATATTTGAGTTGATCTTAAACACCAAGGCTTTGGGACAACAGTGCTAGGAAACAGTGAGATGGGAAACCAGGGAGATATCTACAGCGAATGTTCAAAGTTTCTGTTTCTTTAGCCAAAAAAAAGTCACATTAACAAACTCAATATGAAGCATTTATTCTCGAGTCATTCAGTGGTCACACTTAATCTAAAGGTCACAATGAGCTCATGCATCAGAGACAAAGTGTCTGCCTTTATTAGTGTGTGTGTCTGTTTCCTCTTCTCTGATGAGAGTAACAACAAAGCACAATGAGGACTTTACAAATGTGTTAGTTTTGGCAGAAAACATTCATTTACAGTAAAGTCACAACATTTCAAACTGATGATTTCCCATTTACTCCAACTTTAGTTACAGATATTGTATTGAACTGTGGATGTCGTGAATGTGTATTTCAGATCATTTTACAAAGTTGCTGACACAGACCGCTCAACCAAACTACGAAATAATCAGTGCTGTGCAGTGTGCATTGATTTCCCCCGATACTATCCAGATGACTTTTTGATTGAGACCCAGAACTGTTTGTAGTGGATCGATCCTGCCATGCTGTTGAAATGAGGCACTTTTCTATTTTGGAAATAGATCATTACAAAACATTATGATAGATTTTGTTCTTGGTTTATACTTTTGAAGAAGGTGTCGTTTTCTGTTGCACTTAACGATTCATATCATGGGCTCTAGATCCTGAGTTGAACTCGTGGTTTTAGAATGCCGCCATTATATATCCAAGTTTTTATATTTCTACAATTCCTTCCAACCAACAACATTTGTCAATGAGTCTATTTTTCATTTGAGTGATGCTGAATTGATTTAGTGAAGTTTGGTTGACCAGACAGTTTATCCTGGGAAAAAAAAAAAAAAACTTGTGCTATAACGAGATAATTTAAGCCTTTGGAAATTTGCTCCAAGCCATGTCATCAGAGAAAAAAATGTGAAAGTGCATTTTCCTCCTTTTTTTTTTTTTTTTTTTTTAGCCTTGTTTGAACTATGCAGCCCACAGTGTTTATAGTGTAAACACACTTCATCTGTTTCTAACAGGCAGCACAGTCTAAAGCCACCTCAAAGCTGAGCTCGTCTTATGTAGGATACACGAACAAGTGCTGCGGCCCTTACAAGGCCACTGACTTAACATATTTACATTCAGTACTTAATTACCCAGAATAACCTGTGACGTTACTGGCAGCAGTGCAGTTAAAAGAAGAGAAATCCTGTGACTGCTGGACTACTACACCACATACTTTCCTCGGGAATGGAATGCCATCGCTGCTCCCAAGGCAGACGGAGGGAGGAGGTTTCTGTTTTCTCCGAGCTAACGCACATTTTTGAATACCTTGTAGTGTAGACCATGAAAGAGTCCACTTATAGAAAGGAGGTGGAGGGGGGGGGGATTGTTTACCAAGAGAGCACCAAGCTTAGGGGATTCCATTTGACGCATAAAGTTGAAGTTTTTTTCTTTTTTGCTCTGTCGAAGGCTCCTGCGTGTTAACTCAAGCAACAAGAGCTGACTTTGTGCGGATTCGTTTTGTAAAGTAAGCAAAAGCAGTCGCCAGCCAGTATCTATCTTCTATTTCTGGCCTCCCCCTGCCCCCCATGCCCCCCCCCCTCCCAGACTGACGTCAGCAGAAAGTTATTTTCATGAATGGAGGGGGCGGTCACGAGGAATCGGTGACGTGAGTGCTTGCGGAAGCAGAGCGTGGAATGTTGGTACATTGTTGTTGTTTTGTAGTTAATTTCGTACGAGGATACACCGCTGCCCCTCTGCTGGACGCCTTATACCAAACTGTGTCAAGGTTCTTCGTCGCCTGTATCGGAAATCTACTCCGCCACTTTTGACATATTCAAGCCTCAGATATCCGCGTTCACAGAGGTGAGTTGTTTCTTTTTTTTTTTTCTTCTTCTTCTTCTTTTTGTTTAGTTTGGGAATATGTTTGGACATTCCTTTCTAAATTGCTCAAGGTGATTGCCACAGTAGCTACTGGTTTTGATTCCAGTTCTGAAAGTTTGATGATGACTTTGTAGATTGTTTCTGTGGACACGTGTTGTGTTGGAGTAACAAAACACAAAAGCCCCCGAAATGTCTCAGGGCGAAGGAAAGGAAGACAAATGGGAAAAACAAAAAACGTTTTTTATTTTCTTAATAACCTTTTATTTTCTCATTTTATTTTTTTTATTTTTTAAGTCTGGATTGGTATAAAGCATATTTCAATTAGGCTAATTGGGTTAGACGACTTCATTTTTTAATCAATAAATCTTAAGAGAAAAATATTTCTTTGACGAAGCCTCGCATGCCACATAAAAAATAATATTCCTCTAATTTAATGAAAAATATTAGTATTTTCCGTATAAAATGCTGTTTATTATTGTTTCTCATTGCGTGTTTAAGCGACACAGAATTCTAGGCAATACGATGAAAACATTTTCGTGTATCTGTGTTGTTTATTTATAGCTTAACGTGTCACACCCTACTTTTAGGGTGAACAAATCCGCCTCTTAATCCAGCTAAAACTACTAAATGTGAAGAAGTGTCACGTAATTTCACTTTGTTCCCCCCCCCCCACACACCTCGCTCATTTCTACGCGGGAATAAATTCAGGCTGCCATAATACAAAAATACCAGCCTACTTTGACATTGGAAACAACACGTGGTCTGTATTTTAGACATGTGGGACAAAGGGCACGAAGTGAAGCTGGACCACCAGGGCTGACTGCATGGTCTGTTCAGAGGAAACAAACAGTCACTAAACATGCAGGAGGAGCAAATATTTCCAGAAAACATTAATCACTCCTGGAGAAGAAAGGGCTTTATCTTATCTTTCGGTTGTCACTGTTGGTCTAAATATATTCCATGACTTGTGTTAAGAAAAGGAAGCTGGGTCTTTGGAAGTGAAAAAAATGTGATAACTACACAATAATAACAATGAACTTCTACATCAGAATTTGTACATCTTCTGCGTTCGAGTTTTTCCTTTTGCAGAACTGATTTGTGACCTTTCGAGGCCGTTGTGATGATTCTATGGAAAATATTTGTCTTGTTGCACTTCAGTGATCACAGATTTGTGCCCCAGAGGCTTTTTTTTCTGGTTCCCTTGTTTGTTTCTGGTGGGTGCACCATGTCTGCTGCTCTCAGGGAGGCAGTGGGAGCGGGTGCACTCCTCTTGTCATGAGGTTAACATGTGGTTCGATCACAGAAGGGGATGATGTCTTCTTTGGATGGAGAAGTTACAGTGTCTGACTCATTGTATCACCACAAAAGTTTGTGACAGTGACGAAGCACATCATGAGAAATCCCCCTCGAAAAGGATATTGTTCAATCATCACCAGATATGTAAGATTTATTTATTTTACCCGCTGAATGGTGTTGGCTGAGAGAAGCGCAAAATGCAAAGCATTCTTGTGGTTGAGTATTGTGAAAGTAAAAAAAAAAAAAAAAGCTGTGGTTGGTGATGCGATGACTCACAGGGAACACGTTCAGTATGATGTGTTTTTGCTCCCCTAACTGGAAAAAAGACGTCAAGTTTTGCTTGTTGACTCTTGAAGCATGATTTTGTCCACAGCTGAACATGCCAAACAGAGAGTGCACAGGCAATAACAGACCAGCGTGTGAACACGCCTGTTGTGCATCCATCCAAAGGGGTCTCCCTGACAGTTATACAGAGCCTGAGTCTGCCACCCACAGTGCTATATGCATCCTGCTTCCTCCTGCTTTTCTGTTAGAAACCAGCTGCTTTCACCTCATCATGAGGGGGGCAAGTGTCACGTTTACATAGCCTATATATTTTTAGATTTTGTACTTGGGAATACCTTGTTCCTTCTCTAAGGGGCTGACTTCCTGGTTCAATGGTTTATTTAGGCAACTTCCTGATTTCAGTGTGACACAAGTTGTAGTAGCAAAAAAAAAAAAGCTTTTTTAAACCCTTTTTATGTCCAGCTGTCAGGCCTCAGTTGTTAAACTGAAAAATGACAGATATGATGCATGCATGTTTTAGATAGATAGATACTTTATTGATCCCGAGGGAAATTCAAAGTTTTATGGAAACATAATCTTAATATTCATCCTATGATACATTTTTGTAGCGACAGGTGAGATACATATTTCCCTTTCTCCCTTTAGCATTCCTGACATTTCTTAGGATCCCAGCTTCCCTGGTCCGAAAAAAAAAAAGAAAGTCTGCTCAGATATTCTGTGCGTTTTCCTCCCATTCCTCACGAAAAAGTTCTGGTGGTCATGCCAACCATTTCCAAGGCTCTCTGTTCTTTCCTTCCTCCCAGTGAAACAACGGGATTTTCCAGGAAACGTCAGATTGGGAGGGTGTGATTCCCTGCCGCTGGTCGTCGCTTTTACCAGTAAACAGCATGACTCACCGCTCTGCTATGCTCTCCATTTCCCTCGCATAATATCCCACCAAATGTGCTGTGCTGGAGAAAGAGCAGAGCGCCGCGCGCAGCAGACTGTGGAGAATTCTCTCCACCAATTCCTGAGAAAAAAAAAAATGCAAGAAAAGCATGAGCTGTCTCAGAGGAAAATATCAGGCTGTCAAAGGCAGCAACAAGTCTTTGCTTTGCACTTCACCTATGCTCACAGTTTTAAACAAAAATGAGAAGAAAAACAAAGAGTCCAGACAAGCCGACTCTGCATTTATCACTGGAGCACGTTGCTCTTTGATATGCTGTTTATAAAAGGAGAAGGCTGGGCCCCACACTGACCTGCTGAAACTGAAGGATAGCCTTGAACTTGACCAGAAGCCTGACCTAAAAAACAAACATTTGGCATCAGTTAACAGAAGGAAAAATGTGTTTATTAAACCGGCCGTGTCTCAAATATAGACTTTCTTCTTAAAAGCCGTTTGGCTGAGTTGTGCCCACACACAAACAAATACAATCTTTGTTTTGTTCTCTGTTTTAAGGAATTCTTAAAAATAGTGCTGTAAGGGGTCACTTCAACTTCAGTGTGTCCAATGAAAGAACAAAGTAAAAGGTTAAATGCTTTCTACTACAAATAAGACAAGGTTTGTTCGAGACATTTAGTTGGGGAGTAACTCTTGCGTCATGCCCTGTGACTCTCCTCCTTAACTAGTGATAACGTCGTTGCAGAATAGTACATTTGGAGCTATTAGTCATCCGAGCGTCATCACAGGAATAAAACATTACTGAATGTATTCGGAGAGTAAAAGAGGCCGTGAACGTCTGTTTACAATGTCTAGCACAAAAGAAAGTTGGACCTCCACACACGAGCACACATGGCTGCGTTTGATTTGTTTGGGCAAGTAAAAAGATGTGAGACACTCTTGAATTCCAGACATTTTGTGAAATTTTTTGCAGCCGCAGCTTTACAAGCGGGATCGTCGGAGCCCCACCCCCCCCATGGCTGAGTGCATCGCAGGACATATTCAGACAGAGTATTCCCTCTGCAGTCAAGATCTGCCTGCTTTGTGCCTGTGAGGGTTCGCACATGTGTGTTCACTCAGGAATGTGGGGTTTTTGTTCTTTAGCCCGCCATCTGTGGCTCCTCTTAGACGTATTTTTCCCAGACTCCTTTTCCTTCTCTTCTGGAGAGAAAAAAAAAAAATAAGTGTTGTTTTCTTGACTATAAAGAGAAGCCACGGTTTGTTGTGAAATATTCCTGTCCCAATTTTGTCTCGTTTTAGCGGCGACAACTCAATGATTGGATTTAGCTGTGTGCTCAAAAATGATTGTTTTCTTCCTCAGGGCAAACTTTGCCATCTTGATCAGGAAACCATGTCCATCCTCGAGTTGCAAAAACATAAGCACATGCCTAAAGAATTTAAAGGAAACAACCAGGCCTCTTAGTTCAAGCTGGAGGCCTCTTGTATGAAGAGAGGGAGGCCCCACACCACTTTTCCATGATCTTTGTAAGGAATATACCCAGGGACCCCCCCCTCTGACGCAATATCACTTCGATTAGGGTGTTTTTGTAGCCAACTTGTTGTCAGGGAATGCTGCTGTCTGAGTTCTTCGTTTTATACGCTTATTGCGTAATCTCAACAATGCAATACTTTGCTGCATGTTTTGCAGAAAGAATCAGACTGGGCAGCAGATGTTCCCTACATTTAAACATGACTTTATGTGCCTTTGGGTTTAGTGGCTTGGTCTTTATGTTTGTTTCCACGGCAGGACTCCTTGAGGTCAAACTGTGTGTCGGGAAAAAAAAAAAAAAACCCCACCAAAGTATATTCTGTAGGCATTAATGTTGAATTGAAGACATTAAAATGATTAATTTGCAGAGTTGTTTTTCATGTCTACAGCCCTGCTCCCTGCAGTCAGCAGTTCCAAAGTCCTGTATTAGCATCAAAGCCATAGCATGTGAAAATGTGATAAACCTCCCAAAAAAGGAACAGCCACACCCAGAGTATGTTCCTGCATGAAAGCTGCAGCTAACAGGACTGGAGAGAATATTTGCCCTCTTTGAGGTATCATTTATCGCATGCTCACCTAAAGTTGTTTAGTTGGCAGAAATATTGTGTCGGCGCTAGTGGGCTAAATATATCCTTCCAGAGTTAAATAAGGGCATGGTGCTGCTCAGGAAAGCCCAGTGTAAGAGGATCCAAGCAGCGAGACGCAGTCCTGAATCCATAGACTACATTGTCTCAAAGCAAAAATACATCAGTGACTATAAAGGAAACTATGTCTGCGTGACACCCTCTCTCCAGGAATTTTCCACATGCGTATCGAGTGCCGCGTAAAGTTCAGCATCACTGAAAATGTTATGTTGATGCTGTTATAATATCTAATGAGGGGACAGAGTGGCCTCTACATAAAATCAGATTAAAGGGAAATAACAGAATAAATGAGCATGAATGAGGAATCCTTTTCGACTGATCTGCATGAGTTAGTGCTTCTTATTTGTGCTGTGTACTGCGCTGTGGTTATGAATGAGACTTGTTTACCCTTTTGATGACCATGTGACTCACACTCCCACACCCATTTGCAGGGCGTTTCCATGGTAGCCGTTGAGCATGGAACAGTGCACTTGTAGTCAGGCTGGTCTGCAGGTCCTGAAATGGAGCCTTTGGGGGGGGGGGGGGGGGGGAGAGAGATGTGTGCCTCTCAGAGCATCACAGCTCAGTGCTCTTGCTTTTTTTGGCCATGGCAGCAGTCTGGGAAGCATGCGGCGCACTGCAACGAGCACAGAGAATTTCTCCAAAGTGCCCCAGCAAAAAAAAACTCTTAGGCCCAGAGCTTTAATGCAAAGTTCTGTGAAGACAGAGGGAGAGCGAATGCCTGTTTTTTAAACTCACCTGGTCTAGTGAACTAGATTGGTCAAGGCAAGGCCCTCCTTCTCAGAAAGTAAACATAGGTACGCTGTAGTGTGTGTGTTTGTAATGGTGTCATGCTGCCCTCTGCTGGCATCTAGGGGGTCTAACATGCGAATGCAAATATTGACACATGACGCAACACTGGAATGTTGTTTTGATGTCTGGAAAGAGGCGCGGAAGGAGTGCCAACATGATGTTGTATAGCCGACTCAGCATCTTCTGCAAAATAAATAAATTATGCATTCGATTCAAAAGTACGCAGATGTGTTTTTAAGACAAAAAGAATCAAGTACAAACATTCAAAAATATTAGCATAGGCCTACTTAATTTTTCCACAATATTAAAATGTACAGCCTGTTAAAACTGTCAAAAAAGTACTCTTCTTTCTTATTCTCAAGTTAAGTAGGCCTTTCTCTAAAATGAAAGCTACCTAACAGTAGGCCAACTTATGTACATTTACTTTTCACAGCTCATGTGTTTTCTTTCACACAAGTGAGCTACGTACACTCATTATTTCCTCTTCACTTTCTTTCAGTGTGTCTTCTGTGAGATTCTGGCCAGTTGTCTGCATGCAGGGAATGACGACTCATTTCAAGACGAGCAAAGCTTTCAGGGTAAGTGAGGGCAGTTTGAGCAGTCAACGGAAACCCCTCTCATACACGCTGCTGTTGTTCATTAACTCTCCATCTCGTTCTGTAGGTCAAGAGGGAGTCGGGCGAGAATGCCCCGGCGCTTAGCGATGATGAGCTGGTGGCCATGTCCGTACGGGAGCTCAACCAGCACCTGCGAGGGCTGACCAAGGACGACGTCGTGCGGCTGAAGCAGCGGCGTCGGACCCTGAAGAACAGGGGCTACGCCGCCAGCTGCCGCATAAAGCGCGTCACCCAGAAAGAGGAGCTGGAGAAACAAAAAATAGAGCTGCAGCACGAGGTGGACAAGCTGGCCCGGGAGAACGCCAGCATGAGGTTGGAGCTGGATTCCCTGCGAGCCAAGTACGAGGCCCTGCAGTGCTTTGCCCGGACTGTGACCCGCGGGCCCCTCTCGCCAGGCAAGGTGGCCACCACCAGCGTCATCACCATTGTCAAGTCCGCCAACCACAACAACTCCAGCCATACGCCTTTCTCAGCTCCCTCCTAGTGCTGACAGGACTGGGCTCTCCTCCTCCTGCCTAGTCCTTCCTGGTTCTGACCCCGCTTGAACCCACTCATCCAGTACTGAGAGGATGCTCAGTAGTTAGACTGAGGGATGGGATTGGGGGGCAAGTTCTATGTGATGTAATGCTGCGTTCACAACTCTCTCCCTCCCTGCATCTCTTTTACACAATCTACGTTGTCTGTGCACTGTGCAAACCCCCTCCCCCCTCCCCTTCTCCCCTCGTTACCCAGCACCAGCAGGGTATCAGGCCTCTGTGACCCTTCTTCTATGACTGACAGCAGAGATTTGCTTTTACTCCAGTGTGAAACCTATGTACCCAAGTCTGGCAGCACCGGCCTAGGACCGCTTGTGCACTCAATGCTACAAAGCATGAGGCATCAGCGATTTAAAACATGCGTATGTGAAGTTTTTTGAAAAGCCTATGCCAAATTTCTTATGTAGCAGTGTCTCCGTTTAAATCGAGCCTTCAAAGCTGTTGCCTTAAAAGGTTGTCTGAGTGATCTGAATGCATTATGATCTCATACTTACTTGTAGTTAAACACAAAGAGAATTTATTTCACCAGCTTTGAAGTCAGTGAGACACTTCGCGATTGCCATAGTTACCAGTTGCTTTTAAGAGCCAGCCAAATACAACAACAACAACAACAAATGTTTCCCTGAGTAGTATTTCTTCTGTTTTGGAAGGTGCTAAGCTGTAAAATCACCTGTTGTGTGTTTGGTTGGAGTGACAAACTGCCTGCACATGGATCACATGGAGCCTATTTGAAAAAAGCACTGCATTATGCAATTTGCAAAATTAACTGACCAACGCTAAAGGGCTACACTCACGATACACAAATGCGTCTGTTCGGTTATGCAAAAGGAAAGGGAGACAGTGCGCTCCAGTAAAGGCTTCCATTCATTCTGATGCTGGTCTGATTTGAGGTAACATACATTTATTTGTGTTTAAGAAGTCTCATACTCAATTGCGCCAAGATTAGAGTGAAAGCCTTTTCTGGACCGTGCTGAATTCCCTTGGCAGTTGTATGAAAAGATGGCCACTTGTGCCTTTTATCTAGTTGTATTGGCAACTCATCCATGAGACGCTTGTCATGTTGTTCTGTTGCGGTTGAGAGATTGTTTAATTTGTCAGTTAAGGGCTGAAAACGGTTGTGTGTAGCTTGTAGTAGAGGCTGAGAATGTCTCATTCATTTATTAAGAAATGAGGGAGGTGAGAGGTGAAAACGTATTTTTCCCGGAGACGGATGTGCTTTTTATTGAAATGAAAAATTGGAAAGTTAATGATGGCGCTTTCTTGACCAGATTTGTTTTGATTCAGAAGAGTTAACGTTGCCTTGTGTCTATCATTATAAAGCACTTAAAAGAGAACTGTTAAAGATACAGTATAAAAGAAAACAATTCACAGGGCAACTGATTCATAGAATAAGAAAAGTATGATGGACAGAAACTATTAGCGTTTCTGAAGTTACTGGGACTCGGGATTGCATGATGATTAAATGTGGTGTGACCACCTACTGTGAGGTCGAGCCTATAGTGTAACTAAGGATGGTGTCTGCTACAGCACTGATTAGTTTGTGTTTTTGCCTCTGTCCTTTCTATGCCACTCTTTGGCAGGTAATCCATATTGGATTTAGTGATAATAAGAGAGGTCCTTATGAGTGGAATGCAATCCAACTGAGCTCCTGTATATTACAGATTATGGACACGTTAAAGCTGCCACTGCCTCTGTTGTCACTTTACATTGAGAACTCCGTCCGAAATAGAAATCATTCCGATACTGCTGGGTCATGAAAAAAGTGCTGCTGCTGCTGCTGGTGTTGGTAACCCTGAAACAGTTTCTATTTACCTTGCTTTGACACACTCTTCTGCAAGAGAACTCCTGACACCTATCTCTAAAAGGCAGCGGTGTCATGGACACTGAATGCAGTAAACACCTTCCTCCTGTTGTATACATTTATAGATATACTATATATAAACATGAATCTCACTTGAAATCAAGCCTTTTTCTTACAGAGGATCCATTCCTAATTTGGAGTGAAGTCAATAGAGATTGCTCATGTCAGGATTTTCTCTTGGCTAAGAGGACAACGACTGTTCTTCCCATGTTCCATAGCTGCAAAGAACAGTGTGGGGAACTTAGCTGCTGTACAACCTGCTGTGATGTTGAGCAGGGGCATTGCTGTGTTTTACTCTTGTTTTGTATTCTCAATTGGTTTCTTTGTTGATACATCCTATGTTTTTCTTTCTGATACTTAGTTTTATATGCGTATTCAATATATAAATATAAATATATATATATATTACATATTTTTCTATATTTATGTCTTTTACTATCCTGGGAGTGGGTGTGATTATATAATCATCGTTTGAAGTCTAATTATGACGATGCCGACCTTTTTCTGAAAAAGTTGTATTCACATTTACAATGAGAAAACTCTTCTCGTAACTTAAGTCTTTTGTGTATTGATACCCCATAAATGGCTCTTCTCTGCACATTTTACTATGTTGCATATAAATATGACAGCCAATGACTTGTCACATACAGGCTGCAGCTTATTATCTGTCACAGTCGAGACACAACTGTTTAGAAATGGTCAAACTGCTGGTTGATACTGCTAGTAAAGATCACATGTGCATCAAGCAAATCATATTTACAACAAGTAGGTCATTAATAATAAAGGAGTGTCACAAAATAAATCAAATGTAAGTAAGTAATGGGTTGAAAATCAAACTTTGAATTAAAAATTCTAGTTTTTCTCAAATGTTTAAATAAATTTTATATAGTTCAAAACGAGCATATTGGTCTTTTATGATTAGATTTTAAAATATAATGGAGTATCTGCAGATTGTTCAGATCTCATCATTAATAATCATTCATAAATAAATGAAAAAAGTTCATTTTAAAATGCTCTTATCTTGGAGTACAAAGGAATCCATTTTTCTGATTTAATAAAAAAAAACAGAACTGATCTACCTTTTTTCTTTTTCTTTTTTAAAGATACTGTTTCATATAGGCAACAGTTTCATTTGATGACAGTGACACTTTTGTAACCTCTGAGACCTTACCGGAAAATAATTCCAAAGCTGCTAAAAAAAAAAACTGTTTAAGGTCTGTTTGAAGCCTGAGTCATAAGAAAATATAGAAACATAGTTCATGTTTACAAAAGTCCTTATGTCACAAGACTACACTGCTTGAAGCATTTTCTGACAAGCCAAACAGTGACCCCTTGTGGTGAAGTCTCAAAACAAATTGCTGTAAGATCAAGCAGTGTTTCATGTTTAGTTTAGCACGTCTTACTTTATTTTGATCACACCTTCAAAATGACACGTTAAACTATGTATTTCTGTGTTGTGCCATAAAACAGACAACCTGCTCTTCAAGTGAACAAAGTATTTGTTGTTAATTTTACATCAAGTGCGACCAAGCAGAAGTCCCATCAAGCTCACATTGCTCATAGACTATTACCACAAACGAATATTTGCTAGACAAAATAAATATACTTTTTTTTTTTTTTTTTTTCACAAGCCAATTTCGTTGTAAAGGAAATACAAATAAAATCATGTTAGGTGGTGTTTTACTGGGGGAAAATAGACAAGTGAATGGTTGAAAAGAGGCATAAACATACTTGCCATGGACGTTTAGCCACCTCGTCCTGAGTATCTTTATTTCTTTCTGCAGCTGAAGCGACTGAAGCTCGTCATACTGAGGAGCTGTAACAGATCTGTTCAAGATGTCATTTTTATATGAACCATTACAATGCTAACGTATGTTTAGACATGGGGTTTCCTGAATATGTTGACGAGGTTATTCATGTAAATTGTCCTTCTGGACATGTCTCTGATAAAATAAGCTGTCCACAAACAAGCCAGTCCTACAAGCTCACGTATTTAATTTACAGTGTAGAACGTCTGTTGTAGTTTTTTTAGACTGGAGAGGTTTTTGACTAAAGATGCAGAAAAAGCTCTGCCGTAGAAGTGAGCATGTGTATGAAGATTTGGTTGTTGGTGAAAAATATTAACGTCCGTTCAATAGCAGAGATTTCCATGTTACAAATGGATATCCTCGTTCTAGTCTCGTGGTAACATGTTCAATGAGTAACTGTCAATAATGACTTGAAACGAGGACAGTAATAAGGCAGCATAAACTGTATTAAGTACCCTCCACAACTTGTCATTAGTCTGCTCATATATATTTGATATTTATTTCTTTGAATTGTGTAATTTTATAAAAAAAACACCTAAATTATTTTTTATTTTACATTCATTTATTTACATGTTTTCTCAATGAACTACCCTCATGTACAAATAAAATCTGTATTTGCTCTACTCTGATTTGAAGTGTGGTCAAATTATTTCGAGAAATAGGTCGGCTGTGTCTCTTTCTGAACTTTCAAAATAAAACGTTTCCTCATTGAGAAGGGTATATTTAGTCAATTCAAGAAATACATGTTACACAAGCAAATCACAATGCTTTACTTATGCACAAGTGCAACACAGACATTTATTTAACCAGGAAAACCTCACTGAGATGAACAATCTCATTGAAAAGTGTCCTGGTGAAGACAGGCAGCAGCACAAAAAACGCCAGTGTATATTTTCTAATAGTAGTTTGAACCCAATGTTAAATGAATTTCTGCTTTCCCTGAAAGGCTGCTATGATTGGCACAAAAGGGTGTCAAAATTAAAACAACCTATGACCTAACACACAGAACTGATCCCTTGATATGTTTGTGTCTTTCAAGACATTTTTAAAAAACAACATTGGAGGAGGAACTAGCTCTTTAATCACACAACTCTATGTTTTTCTCTTGACCATACAGATACCGGTTGGACTATGTCTTACCACACTACACACAATAAATACATTATTATCATCTATGAAATAATGATTGAAACTTATTACAAAAACACAACATGCCAGAATTTACACAAATCAAAACTCTGTTCATGTTTCAGAATCCCTGAAGCAAGGAACTGATAATGATGTGAACACTTTGAACATAACAAGGTTCTGCAAAAAGCATTTACACAAATGCAGAAGCTGCAAAATGAATAACTGTTAGAGCTCGTTGAACGGCTGGCTAGTTGCACTGAATTACACTCTTTACCACACTGGGAAAATTAATGAGAACAATACAACTCCCACATTGTAGGAGACAGGTTGATCCAATTTGTCCATGAAACGACAGATACAAAGGATTGCGTAGTGCTTCACCAGCTTCAGCTGCTCCAAAACGTGTGTGTCTTGAACAAAAACGTCTCCATTTGTCAGGAAACCATGCCGAGGAATCCTCGGTAAAAAAGACTTCAAACAAGCAGAATGCAAGAAACGGTCCATGAAATGTCACTCCAAGCCATCACTGGCTTCCCCTGCTTTCTCCCCTCAAGTCCCAAATGAATCATCTCCTCTTTGAAACCGACAAGAATCAGAGGGGAACACACTTCAGACAGCCGGAGAATAAGCTCTGACATTATGACAGAGACAAAATCAGGATCAGGGACACTGCTGGACAACAGGCAGCTTGATTTGTAGGAAGAGTAGAGCTCCAGACTTCTCTGATACTGTCAAGGTGACACAGCTTTGTGTCTGTGATTTGCAAGCTGAGACGGATCAGTTTCTCTGGTCATTCAGCGAGCTATCAATTTGAAAACTAATATTTATTTCATTCTCCTTCTTGTTGCTTAAATAATTAATTGAACTGGGACAGAAGGAAGCAGTCCATCTGAAATACTGGGCGGATGAAAATTAAACACCTAGATTCAATCCAGCTCAGTGGGATACGAGACACATCTGTTTCCCCAGGGGGTTAGAGATAGGGGTGGCGAGGACTCAAACACCTGGATCTTGCTGGAAGCAAAAGCCCTAGAACTCATCATCGGAGGTTATCAACATGATTTTGTCAGACTTGCGGGAGCTCTTGTTGCCTGTGGCCATTTTTCCATTAGCGCTCGGCTGGACCACCTCCTGAGTGGACTGCTGGGTGTACTGCTGGTAGGCCGGAGAGAAGTTGTGGATGGCATCCTGAACCATATCTCCTGGGTTTATGGTCTCCTTCAGACCACTGGAGATGCTTTGCATAGGAGGGATGTTCTCTGTTGGAACAAAAGAGGAAACGGGACATGGGGAGATTAGTGATTAGACACTCCTGAATGCGATTACAGCTATATCTCCTTTTTCAAGAAACAGTCTGTTTTAATTTAGGGTTTATACATCTTAAATGAAAAAAGATCTTTACAGCTGGATTCTGTTACCTCAAGGACAGGGAAATGCTTAAGATTACCAAGGCTAACCATTTCAAGTCTTCATGCTAACATGCTAACATGCATTTAGGTTCTCCAACATATTTACCAGTTGAGATATGAGAGTGGTAATCTGTTTGTTTCCCTATGTATCCCCAAGCAAAACATCCAGAACTATTATTTCAGATCTCTCAATCAAAGGATACATCTGAGCATGTTAAACAGAAGTACAGTCTCAGTACTGAAATTGATCATTTATTAAAAAAATGTTATTTTCTGGCAATTTCCTAGTTTCTCTATTCATTCATTAGTCAATTTCAGCTCATTCATGAAACAGGGTCATATAAAACACTTAGTCAGCATATTCTGATTTTCCAGAAGCCTGTAAAACACGTTTTGCATCTTTTTCCGGTTAAATGCTTTAATAGCTTGTCAAATTCATTTCCTCCTTTGATTCACAGCCCGTTGGTGTCAGTGCTACTGAGAACTGTCCAATTAGAGACAGAAGGTTGTAATATTTGACGACCAGTTTAAAGGAACACTAAAAAGGGATGATTAATGTCTCTCATCCTGGATTTTTTTTTCTTCTTCCCAGCCTGCAGGCTAAACGGACTGAACAGAGTGCTGCACAGCCATCGCTGTGGTGTGATGGTCCCTTAGCACCCAGCTGTGAGCCAGGTGGAATTTAACCCAGAACTAAAAGGGTTTCGAGGCAACAAAAAAAAAAAACGAGGCATACATCCACAGCCTTCGGCTTAAGGGTCACTGGCAGTGCTGTCGGGATTGGCTTATGGAGGTGGCAAAGAGAAGGGAAAGGTGTGGAGGGACAGGGGATGGGGTGGGGTTGATGTCGGTGCAGAGCAGTTAGGTACAGTCTGCTGAGTTTCTTGTTACAGCCTGCCCGCTCCACAGGGCTGAAGCAGACGAACGGTAAGCCGAAGGTATGGCAACCTCTGCAATCACACACATCAACACCTGAGGGTGTGGGTGAAGCAGCAGAACTACAGAGTTAATGCTGCTCCTACAACATTCATTCAAAGAAGAGGAAAGGATGGCTGAAACAAACTAAAAGCAAAGTAAAGAAATTAAATAACCATTTGTCAAACATTGACTGACATTTTCATTATTATTAGCAGGGCAGCGGGATGAGGTGTTGATATATTTTTCATTTGGGCAGGAGGATTGGGTGAGGACGACAAACAATTATTTATCCTTTTTGATTTACATCTTTATTAAAAAACAAATAGGCCTTATTTGGTTCAAATAGGAAGGTTTCAGTTTTTATCATCACTATCAGTATGTCTGCATGTTATGAAGCTCAAGGAGAGAGAGCGTTTCCTCTAACAGGACAAAAAAAAAAACACATGGTCAAATGATTGATATTGCAGTTAAAGGTTTTTCCCATGACTTCTATTTCTCTCTTACTAGAAAACAGACTTGATGTTCATCGTCTAAGAAGTGCAGCACGCTCCATACTAGTTACTCCACTATGGCTTCAAAATCCTCTAAATCATTCTCTACATTGCGATGCTGATAACTGCCCTCTGAGTTTTGAGTAAAAATGTGAGCCCTTAAGTGTATCAAAGCCCCTTCTGACTTCCAACCTGATCATGACAGCACACAGCATTTAATTAAAGTCAAAACTTGTAAATATGGCGATATTAACTCAGACTGAAATAGAAGGAGTGAATCTAGGATGTATCTCTAAAAGTCAGTGTGACTGGGCTAAATGGCTGCAATTATTTTTTACTGCTAACACCTCCAGCTTGTGTGAGTCCTCATTCTGCGGGGGAGAAAGGGCAATTAGCCTGGAACATGTCAACCTGCTTGGAGGGCGAGGGGTAATGATCAGCTTTTGTCCACTCTCACCTGGCACGTCGTTCTTTTTCTCCTGGTAGACGGTGCAGGTGAAAGCGTATCTGAGGGCAATGGCGGCGAAGAACATTTCAATGCAGATAACAAAGTTCTGCCACCCCGCTGCCACAGTGCCAGTGCCGACCTCCTGTCCGTCAATGAAGAGCGCGTTGGGTATGACGCCGCAGCGTTCCAGGATGGCGAGGACCATTCCTGCAGGAAGACAACATTTTCATCTGTAATTTAATCCTTTTTAATACTGGCAAAGAAAAATAGAAAAAAAGCATGGATGGGTTAACTTACCTTGCCAGAAGGATAAGAAGATGACAGATTTGATCGTGAGGAATTTCAGTACTGGCTCGTACGGTCTGAGCAGGTCACTTGTGGCAAAGAAGAAGAGGAAGAGGGCGTAGAGTGCCAGGCTGACTGAGAAGTTGTAGATGATTGTGATATACAGGTATCCTCCGTTTATGCTGCACAGAAACAGTAGAAGCCCCATGGTTACAGATTTGATGATCACAGCTGGACAATGTCATGTTCTGCACAAAGCTATTGAGAAAGACATTTGTTGCAGTTTTGAAACCATTCATTGAGTTTGGCTAAATTCAATTCTAAAGACTCACAGCTTGAGCTTTATTACTTTTTTAGTTATAGCACAGAAACAGATAGAAATAAAAGAGCTGTTGTTCTTCTATTTAAATGAGATAATAAAGCCTGTTTGTTCTTGGCTTTCTTATTCCAGGATGCAGCCGATAAACAGGCAGATTTGTCTATATTTTATTGGCAGACTTCCTTCCTACCTCTTTTGCATTCTAGAGAGCGTCTCTGAGGACTCGGCTGTGACTGCACTAATTACTCCCATGCAGTATAGAGGGCACGCTTGGCTGAAAGCGTATAAGTAAACAATCTGTGAATCATCACGGCCTTTCTACAGCGCTTAAAGAAAGACATGAAAATGGGGAAGTTATTTCTGACTGCTAATTTTCCTGTTTAAGTGCATGGAGAAATAAGCAGGTAGGGTTTAATTAAGTTCTATCTTTCAGCTCGGCATTAAGAGAGTGATGATAGGAGGCTGATTGAAACGCCTGTCTCAACTCTTTACCTCTTCGGAAGTAGTTTAGAAACAAGTTTTGTCTGAGTCTTCAGAGCGAGATGCTAGACTGAGAGGGGGAGACGATCACCAGAATAAAAGTCAGGCAGAGTTTATGGACTACAAGTTTTATAGCTTTTTGATTAGATCTATCACCCTCTCTTTATTCTCTTTGGACCTTTATTGGCTCTTCTGGAATAAAAAAAAAAAAATTACACAAATAAAATTTTCAGCCTGCAATTTATCCCAGTCGTTGTATCCCTTGACATCCAAAGTAAAGTGTGAAAACGGATCACACAGTGCTTCTCCCGTTATGGAGCTGTGCTTCACTGAGTGCAACCTACAATTAGAATGAAGGGTCTTCATTTCAGAGCTCTATAACCGCATTTCGTAGAACTCAATATAACCTGGTATAATTTCTTCAGTTCATATTTCTAAATTATTCCTCCCAATAACAACAACCAGGGGGGCTGAGATTACAGCCTGGATAGTGACACAACTGGGACGGCATGTAGCAGAGTACCTACCACACTCTCTAGGAAACTTTGAACCAGGCACTTTCTGCCTGATATGAAAGCTTTTAATTATACAACTGTTTTATAACACCAATTGAGGAAAAGTAACATCATTATCTCCATTTGCAAATTGTTTCCACGTGAGTAAAAAAAAAAAAACAGCAAACACGCCTGCTGGCCATGACATGGGTATGTGAGATATACTCAGAATGAAATGGGGAGAGAGGTGCTGCTCACTTAAAATCTCCATCGTGATATTTGCCAAAGGCCTGCAGGATGATGGTGATGACAGCCATGATGGGTTTGACAACGCAGAACTGGAGAGTCGCCTGGAGAACACATTGCAATTCAGGGTGAGACACTGAAACAAGCACGGACAATATGAAGAGGGGGAAAGAGGATGTAGGATGAAGAAAGACGTCAGGTGATGAAGATCTGAAGACCTGACCTGTCGGATTTTCTCATCTCTCACCAGCTGCACATTGTTTGTTTTACTATATTTACACTCTGCAAAACCAGTGAGGCATATCTTTTTGATTTGTTTCCCAATACCCTTTTTTCTATTCTTTCTTTAAACATTTTGACAGAAAGCTCATGCCCTACACGAGAAGAATGATACTACTAATGCGTTACAGACAGGGGCTGATTAGCTTTGCTTTGCACAATCCATGTGAAGCTCACTAATAGACAGCTTTAAACCTGTTTGGATAATCAGTTCAAACATCTAAGCAATAAAAAGGACAATTTGCTTTTTTCATGGCCAGTTGTGTGTTGTGTTGTTCCTTGGCTCCGAGCAGTTACTTCCTGGAGGCTCTGCTGTCTGCCTGACAACTGCTAAGAGCGACGGAGAAGTCAAATAACCTCTCGTGTCATTTATAACGTCAGTAAAGATTAAACAAACAGGATAACAAACGGGTTTATTATTAGGGAGCTTTATAGTTCTGGTTGGTGGATTTTGGACAGAGCTGGAATTGTGTTTTCTCCATTTTTCTATTTTAGTGCTAAACTAACTGACTGCTGGCTGTAGACCCAACCTTAAATTAGATTTGAAAACTTTTTTGATCCCCAGCGGAGAAACTCATTTGCCACCTGGTCAATTCAAACACACAACAAACATTATCGACAGAACAATCACAGTACACAACAACTGATGAGGAAAGTTCTGCTGCTCTTCTCGACTTACATCAGGCAAAATGTCAAACTAATTTACAACTGTTGTTTTAATTAAAAGATGGAGAAAATCTTATATATACACCAACATATCTTTTGTTGTAAAGCTGTCTTTCCTTCAGTCCCACAAAGTTTGGTATACTGATGCTGAAATGTCAATGCTGTGGTGGATAGGAACTGGCAGGGACGACATGATGCAGGAGGATGTGGACCTGCATGGCATATAAAACTGGAGGACAGGTGTCCTCTGTGTTGTGTATCGAAGCCTAAACCAACCACTTTGACAGAAGCGGCTCCAAACTCCCATCACTGTGTCGACACTTGAAAGCAACAGATCACGAGTGTTCGACTTGATTAGCCAGAGGGAGACGTTTGGAAAATGGCTGGAGTCGGGGGTGGGCTTGACAAAATGACATCGATGATCGTTTGTGTTACTGATTTACTTTGAAGCTTTTAGTAGCGACAGTCTTTGCTTCTAACATGCCGCCTCTGGTGCCAGCTCGTCTCTCTAAATATTCTCAAAGCAAATCATTGTGCGTGATACTTCATGACATGCCTGACATTCAAAACACAATGTGCATTAATAATGCTGCTGGATTCAAAGTGTACTGTGGTTTCATCCTAAAATTAATTCCGTTATGAACTGGATCCATGCAAACAGGCAGCTGTATACCCACCAAATAATGACCATTCATTAGAAGCTGTGCAGTAAGTCAACATACTAACTCAGCTCTGTAAAACTCCAACTAACTGCTGCATCATTCATCACAGGACTGTAGGATGTTTTGCACAACTGTAACTTTCAACCATTTTAACTTTCCCATCTTGTGTCGGCAACCTACCAGCAGTTATCATCACAACACCAAATAAAGTTTCATTAAGTAATCACCGCTTGAAAATGATTTTCTTTGTTCAGTGTTAACTGCAATGATTCATGGATCTCCTTCTCCTGAGTCCAATCAACAGCAGCGTCTCTACTTCGTGTACCTAAATACATGCCTTCAAAGTTATCAGTGTCAATTGATTATTGTTAAGACATCTATGTATTGGACAATAAGGCCAAAGCTATTCATGTTATGTTCATGTTCTCACTAATTTCTCCCAGACTCGGCTACTGTCTATACCCCAATTCAGATGTTATTTTAAAAAAAAGTCTGCTGGACTATGTTTTTTTCCATAAACGTCTTGGTATTCTTGCTGCTGTTCTTCCCATAAACCAAAACAAATCATCATAATAACTGAGATGTCACAGGTCATGTTAACATGTGGGTTTTGAAGAACCTAGCAAAGCCAATTGTATTAAGAGAGAGACCATTATGTGTGCTGCTGTTCAAACCAGCTGAAGCACAAACATAGTGGTTGTTCACATTGTCAGCAGAAAGCTGTTTTTTTTCCTTTCTTTCTGTTTGTATTTCATAACGCCTTAGCTATTTGTATATGATTAGTTCTTTAAATGACAACCAAAAAGGCAAACATAAATACATACACACAACTTAGAATACTGTATATTCACCAGGTTAAAAAAAAAAATACTGTAACGTATAGATGGTGACAGCAGGATAAATTCTAACCGACAAAATCATTCTTCACCTCTCTAAATATTGTAAATCTTACTTCTGCTTATTAAATAGAGGGAGAAGAACTCTTATCATTTCTCATTAATAATTCTTATCATCAACTGAACCTGATTTACTACCAAAATAAAAAAAGAGTAGGTCATAGCTCCTTGCTCTTGCTTTTTAATTTATTGTTGATTTGTTTTGACCCCCAGGTGGTTCCCCTGGACTTTATAGGATTATCATTTGAACCTGTTTCAGGGAAAAAAAGACCCTAAAGTGTCCTACAGTATGATAAATTTCTTAAGACTTAAATGTCAAAAACACAGTTCAAGATGCAAAAGCAGCTTATCCTCCAAGCTTATCTCCAAGAACTACCATAACTCTGGGCTGCTTTTCCCTATGAGTGATTCATTTGTTAAGCACTCTTCTAATCACACACTGAAGCTGTTTTCTAAAACGTGCAGAGAATTGTAACGTTTGTTTTATCACCAATGAAGGAGGGAAAAAAAACAAGGCCTTGTTTTATTTGTCTATGATGAGCTGCTGCACATACAGTATTCCACCGCAGTTCAAGATGAGACTTTCTCATCAGAAGACTAACAAGCGACAACTCGGTGCGATCAATATAATCGAGCGCTTCAGTAATCCATTTTGAAAAAATACATATGTATGACAGCAGTTTATCATTATTCTGAATGCAGTTAGTCTCTCGCTTCGTGGGAGTTGACCTGCAAAAGCAGCTTTTAATCATTCTTTAAGTGCGATGTATTGATTTCTGATATTTTTTTTAATAAGGATGACCTGTTTTAAAACCGTAAAACTCAGCTCTGAGTCCTTGCTCAAAGCAAAAACTCTCAACGCACCCTCTCCGCGGCAAACTCCACCAACACAGATGGGAGTTTTAGAAAATTCCTACAATGTACAATGTTCTTTTTAAAGTCTTCTTTGCTCATTTTCAAAACTCAGAGATACCTAGATTTTTAAAACACTTCACGTAGGATTCCTTTTTGAGTGTTTATCATTGGCCGCTTACAAAAAATGTTCATATCACCCTGTACTTTCTTTTGAAGACATAACTCTCAGTTTCACTTTCCATCAGCGTTAGACTGAGAGCTGCTGCAGCATCCCCGAGACACAGGGAGGGAGCTTTGCGCTGACAGCTCATATCATCTTCCAGTGTTTATTATCAAGCTGCTTTCACCTGGCCTCAATTGTTTTTCTTTTTTAAACCAGGATGTTATCCTCGGAAAAGCACGCACCCAATTATATCAGCTGCCATTTGTAAGCTCTAGAGTCTGTGAATGTTTTATTTTCAAAGTGTGTAAATATATTCCATTGCTCACAAGAAGTATCTCTCCAAGCAGAGATAAGTGGATGATTGAAGCTCACCTGTTTGCAGAATCTTAAGAAGCCGATGGAGTAGCTCGTTCCCACAAGGCAGCAGGTCCCATACAGGCAACTTGACCTGTAATGACAACAGGAAATGATGGGCCATTAGATCATGTCAACACTCATATACACACACATTAGCATCATATTGAAGTATGTTCATGTGACCACTGACAGGTTATGATAAATCACATGTAATATCTCAACCAGAAAAGCCAGACACGTCCCTCTTCCAGCATTAGCCTCTGTCATGATGTGAAGGATTTTCTGTTGTTCAGAATTGTGAACTCATTACATGTTACGATTTTAAACTGTTGGTCAGACAGAACAAGATGTATGAAAACAGTGACAGACATTGTCTGTTACTTTCGGATGTTTTAAAAACACAATATTGTATACCTTAATCCAGACCATGCAGATTGAAAATTAATAGAATCTTGAGGATGTGTGTTTAGAGTCTAAACGTGAGGCTGACTGCATGTTGACTAAGTTCTATTAAGAAAATGTATCCCATGGTGCTGAAATTCACTGCAATATATATAAAAGATGCTTGTGATGTTTTGTGATTCCCATGTAGACAGAAAAGTCAAAACTACTGTTGTGTTCAAATCAGTCATCTGGTGCTAACAGCTTCGGGGGGGAAAAAAAAAAAAAATAATAATAATAATAATCATACAAAGTTCATGGTAAGCTGCCGACATGGCAAAACTATTTAACTAAAAGATTTTAATTTGGAGCACAACTGAAAACAGAAATGATTCTGCTTTACATGTCAACAGAACTACATATGTTAAAATGTGTTGGTCTTGAGGTGTCAACAACATGTTCTTTCATCACTGAGAACTGGACACAAGAAGGTGGATATGCATTTTCATTGGAGCTGCTCTGAAGTGTGCATTTAATTCAATGTTTGTTTCTTTTCTTTACTGTATTGGTGTTTGAAGACATTGATCTTGCTTTTTGCAGCTTGGACTAGGTGAAGGCAGCTGGTTATAATTAATAAACATGTGAGAAAGACTTCCTCTGCTCTAGCACTGAGCCCAGAGAGGCAGCAGAGAAGATCAAATGAGCTCAGTGGAACTCTGATACAGCTCTATAGCTATTGAACCTAAATGGTTAAGCAATACCTTATGTTGACGAGTATTTTCTTTTTCTATTTTGTGCCCAGTACAGAGAGGTTATCGAGGTTGAAAACTCAAACATATTCTAGTGACTTGCAAATAGGAGCATGGAAAGTCAGTCAAATTTATTTGAAATACAAATCAGGATTTGTCTCAGGGTGTAAATTGTACATGTACATTTGTTGCTTTCTGTTTATTCACAAAGAAGTCCAAGTAGATCTGAGTGATTTTTTTAATAGTTTACACGTAATCTACTTTATAAATGGAAACATTATATTTACATTTTTTATCTTATCTGTGCAATATTGACTAGAATAGAAACAGGCTGCAGATCCATCATGATGAAGATCATTGATAAAAGATGAGGCCTACAAACATAAACTATGTGCTTCTATGCTGCTGAGTAAATCTTACTCAAATTGAACCTCATGTGTTGGTGTGCTATTTCTTCTATTAGGACTGTACTTCCTGTTCCAGGAGGTGATACGATGTAAAATCATTTGGAGTTGGCTGGTTAAATAAAATACAGGACGTCTGACATCATGTAACAGCAAGGCACAGGAGTGTTTTTTCTCAAACACAGAATATAGAATGTATGGCTCCATATGTCTCCAGTGGCTCGTGTTAAGAAATGCTATCATTTATGAGGGCTCAACATGAATGTCTCCACTGTCTTAAGATTGAAACTGGCAGGGAACTGCTGCCCAGTGGCTGACTCAGCAGTAAAACACAGCCTATCAAAGGCTGGTCAAATGCACAAAGATAAAGAGTAACTGTCACAGATTAGCACTTTTTTTTTATTTTTTATTGCTGCTCTTAAGGCTCCTTCCTTGTACGGTCGTCATTAATCTAAATGTTTACAGCAAAACGGACCTTGCACCTTTTGAGGATTGTAAAGATGGAGACAAAATCATATCATAGTTTGCTGCAGAGCTGACCCGAAGAGAAGCTGTGAACTAAACATTTATGAACGACAGAGTTGTACTGCTGCCACACCACTAGAAGAAAAACATGGAGCAGCGTCACACAGGTTCATCAGTGAAGATGTTTGTATGAAACTGGGCTACTAGTGAGCCTACTACCTCGGTATCTCCACCCATGGACTCCACACCCAGACAAGAGCAAAACTTTTGCACAGGTCTGCCATGTTTATTCTTGCTACAGAAGAGTGATGTCTGCCGGGAGAAGTCAGGGGGAGGGGCTCATTGCATTTAAAGAGACACACACCAAAACGGAGCGTTCTGAGAGAGCTGGTTTATGCAGGGTCACAAACCTCCTCTGGTGCTTGATTCATGTTATATTTTGACCAAAGCACAGCACAGATGTTTCATTTAGACCACAGGAGACTGTTTTAAAAAAGGTGGAAAAGGGGAATAATATGTTCTCTTTAAAAGTAGTAAGGAAGAGAAAAACAAGTGTGGTTTTATTTTTTCCAAAGCTGATGATGAAGGTAGCTCAATGTGAGACATCTCAGCAGCGGATCAATGAGAGACAACACTACCTCAAGAGTGTTTGACTCATTCTATGTTTTGTAACAGTCCCATGCATTTTAATATTCCATTTAGTGGAAGAAAATTATCACAATATCATACACTGTGATCATTAACTTCAGAGTATTGTCATGTCTCTACATTTAACATAAAGTAGAAATGAATCGAATCATGAAAATGAGAGATACTCCTCGACAGATGTGTTCAAACCGTTCAAACCAGATTTTTACGTTACAATAATTTATCAATTTAGTTGCATTTAAGTTACCACTTGTTCATTTCAAACAGTCTTGTATCAAAACTAGATAAATAGCAGATTATTACAAAAAAAAACTTTTGTTATGATGTGAAAAAACACATTTTCAGATAAATAAAGCTTCCAGTATATACCGTGATACTGATGTGCTATTCTTTTCTGTTGTGGCTGCAACATTATTCTGTTCTTTAAAAAAAGAAAGGCCACTGATGTATCATTGATTGGAATGAGAGCACTCACTGTATGGGCTTCCCTCGAATCTCGGACATGATTGCACTCTCTCCTCCCAGATACTCAAAGGACAGGCTCAGGAAGTTGTATATGACGAATGCTGCAACAGACAGGACAAATACAACTTGAAAACTGGAACCATACGTTCCATGTTCCATGTTTCATGGCATGATGGGGAAAATTTCTGCAGTCCAAATCATGGACTGCAGAAATTTTCCTCATCATCGTCATCATCAAGCAACATTTAAAAAAAAAAAAAAGGTAAAATAATTTGGAGCAGAAAACTTCCACGATAAAAAATTAATTAGACCTACATTTTGGAACAATAACTGTTTCAGTCCTTACATTAAGAAGCTTCCAAGGGGTTCTGTTTCTTGGAAATCCCTGCCTAATCCTTTGTTGCTATTTAAGGAGGGATTAAATGAAGCTAATGCAGATGGTGTCCAGGCAAGAGAAGGTTCATTATGTTTTAGCCATAGCCGCTGGTGCTATTCCGTTCTCCCTGCTTTCTGATGCGCTTCACTATCAATCAGCCACAAAATTGGCCTGCAAACTGGAAACTAATCTCCTGAATTATGTATTTCCTACTTTTACTGTTCTTAAATTGCTTGTAATCCATTTTGCATATGATTCACCTTTGCCAGTACTATATAGCTTTGGTCTAAAATAGGAATACAACACATAATTACAATGTAAAGGCAATAAAATAAAGTGCAGAATAAGGTTTAATATTTTATTTGTATGTAGAAAAATCTTCAAAAATGATCCAACCAAAAAACTAAACTACATCTTCCAGTTGTTTTCTATCTAAAAAGACAGAAACCAGTTCCCAAAGATGGGATCCTCCTTGAAACCTAACACCTCAAATAATGAAGTGTACCAACATGATGACAATGACTGCTGTGAAAGAACTAGTTTGGTCAGTTTCTCGTCTTTCATTTCCTTGGAGCCTTCTCGAATATGATTGCAGGGCAACAACCCTGAGCAGTCATACAACATTAAGGTAAGGGTAAATGCAACTTACCTTCATAGCAGTCTCGAACTGAGTCAAAATAGACATAGTACTGGTCGTTGCTGATGAAGAGCAGGCTGAGCCAGGAATCAAAGGCATAAACTGGCACAATGAACAGTATGCGGATGATGTAGCGCTGCTCATTGGGGACGGTGTAGGACCGTAGGTGTGTATAGATCTGAAACAAAAACACAGACAAAGAAGAACATGAGACAAAAGGGAAAGAAGGGAGAGGGGGGTGTTCTCTGCATTAAATAACCAAGAAATGTAAATTTTTGTATGTACATACATAACATCATGTGGCCTCCATTTTAAAATCCTGCCCCAATAACATAGTTTATTGCAATTAACAAATACTTTTATAATTGACAGTTTTTCCTGGATTTATAGTTAGTTAAATTTATGTGATACCAGAAAATGATGAAAAAAGGACACTTGAAACGGGTGCTCAAGGTGACATCTTGACTATTACTTATTGTTGTCTTTCTTTTACTTAGAAAAAAAATCTATTTAATGGACACTTTCGTGAAAACAACAAAGTAAACAAAATGAAAATCTTTCATTTGAGTGGCTGAAATGCGATCATATTTGAGGTAACTGAATTTAAGAACAGTACTGATTGTAGCTGTATGATTTAGAGGCTGTGATCTGTGGGTTTTACTTTGTTTTTAAAAATCAACATGCTCAGTTTATTGCAGATAGATACGTTTTACATAAGTACAGTGACACTGAAGCGACGTATAAATAGCATGGGCGTGATCAACATGATGCTCTACTTGGGAGCGGGCAGAAAAAAACAATTTAACTGCTCTACACTTGGATGAAATTATTTACAGCTTACTCGCATATTATCTCACACTGACTGCCCTGAGTAAAAATATGCTACAATGGAATGTGGCTGCTAGTTGACTAAGAATAAAGAGAGATCGCACAACTTCTATTTTAATGACCTTTCAAAATACTTAGGCTTGAAACGTAGTGACTGACTTAAATTATGCAGCTTGAACTTTACACACAAGAGCCGAGAAAAAGAGCAGCACTTATTTCACTGAGCTGATGAACAGTCTTAACTTAGAGTCAACAACAACAACACACAAACCTATAGCAACTCTCCCAAATAAGCATGGGATAAATAAATATATATTGCATTTTGTTGTTTTGTTATTGTTCTTAAGTATGTGACTGCAGGCCAACAGAAAGGCTTCTTTCAATGTGGCGCTAATCAAACGACACTCTTTACAGATGGTTCTTGATGCCTCTAACATCATGACAGTCATTTTCTTATTATGATTGATATCTTATTCTCCATGATGATTTCTTTTTTTGCATCAATTAATCAATCAATTTGACTAGTTCCACTGTAATTTAACTCGTTCTTGAGCTCACTTCCATATGTGTGGACATTATTTCAGTGAGTTTTTGTTTTCAAAAACCTCCATTTGTAGGAGCAATCTAAACAGCATGCAGACTCTCACTCGGCCAGACACTTTCAGCTGGATTCAAAGGCCATGAGAGGTTGCATATTAGTGCCTGATTACAGTGAGGTTGGAGGTGTGTTGCATGTGTTCACCTCTACATGTGAAGTGAACCAGACTGGGGAGTGATGTGAACCCAAAGAAAACCAATGTATTTTCCTGGCTTGACAGTTTGTAATATGTATGCACTATAATGCCTAAAGCGCAGACTTTTTTCTGTCACGTCTGCTCTGACAGAACAAGGAACACTACGACTGAAACCATACAAAAACTGAACTATGTGCATATTGTGATGACAGAAGCATGTGCGAACCATGATGCAGCCACATCACACTCGACAGCCTGAGTGTAGTCCGCTGCTCTTAATCCCAAATACTAAGTGGCAAAGAGACTATCATCAAGAAATATCAATCCACCCTCCACCAATTACCAGTCTTAAAAGAATTGGCCACTTTACAGCACAGGGGAACTGAGGTCATTGTGTCTTGTGCTTAGTATTCAGAATGTGAGTTTAAGACTCTATAGCAATCCTCTGGAGCCCAGTCAGATGAAACACCACCAGCATTGCAACACTAGCCTCGCAGACCATTTTATTCTCCCTCTGTGACAGATGCTCGCCTGTTGCAATCCAGCTCTATTCTCCCCATGGTATACTTGCTATTTATTTGTTCAATTAGAATGTCTTGCTTGCAAGTACTTGGACAAACAAGTGTTGTATTAAAGCGATAGGAAACCAATTTACTGTATATTGAGTCACAAATCCCTAAACAATGATTGTGTTTGGATCACAGGTTGCAACATGTGGATGCTGTGTGAGGATATTAAAAAGCTCAGAAAGCTTGCCAAATCACAACAACACTTTAGTAAAAAAAAACAAAAAAAAACACTTATAGCCGTATGTGTGCAAAAAGAAATATAATCTTGGCTGGCATACCACTTCCAGCCCAAACGAGCTAGACGGATGCACATTCAATGGACTAAATCTGGGGACTATTAAAACCACAGTGAACACAAAAACAACACGTGCATCCTTTATCATGCTGAAAATGTTATCTCTACATCAATTGATTTCCCTGCTGATATGACACTGCACCCTGCCGCATTCTCTGCGAATGATAAAATCATAATGATAAGCTATCATCTGTGCACAGTGGGTGACTCACCCACCCAAGTGGAAACACTCATTTACCGCAGCGATGAAATGGTTTCTGGGTAAAGGTGGGCTGTGTTGAACCGCGGATTCTTCCTGACCGTCTTTTGCTCCCACACAGAGAGAGCTCACAGTGAATTCATTGTCCTTTAATCAGCTAAAGGATTTCCGTCCATTTTAATCTGATAGTCACTAACAACTCTAAGGGAGGCAAAAACATTCCCACAATGCAGTGGGGCAGTGCAATCACAATACCTGGCTGGAATGACCGGATAAGACAAAGCATCAGTGTGAGCTGAGACAGTATTCACAACACGGGGCCGTGAGTTAATAATCCTTTATGGCCTTTTCCTGTCCTCAGGCGAGGGAGGTACAATCTGTCTCTTACCATCTCTGATTACAAATGAACATCAGAGAGTACGCAGTGCTTTAAAACTGTACTACCCACAGTTGCTGCTATGATTTGAAACACAGATATTACGTTGGGGCTTTTCAGTGAACTCACCTGGTGGCATGTTATGAGCAAGGCAGACCAGACAAATATCCCTGAGAGGATCTGAGCGGTCGCCGTGTTCAAAAACACATCATCTTCTATGATTGACCCATTGACTGTCCGAATGATGGTCATGTTGGAGATGTCAGACTTGTCTGGCAGGATTGGTGCGTCCAGGTGAACAATAGAATAATTGTCAGCTGACGGATCAGCGTCTACTAGAGATACATTCATCTGAAGACAGAGAGAAAACATAAAAAAATGAGTTATGGTCACATATAGGCCCACGTAAAACGATGAAAACACAAGCCCTCTGGACATGACTCTATTTCCCATAATGGATAATATGGTGCATGTTGCTGAATAGAAAAATCCTACAATTTATCATTAGGCCTATTAAATTACCAAATGATTGATAAAATGATTAGAAAAACAACACTAAGTGACAAACTGCCGGACTGTGTTCAAATGATCAGTGTTTTGATAAACATTTGTACCGTCAACAAACAGCTCACCTTGTCCCTCGGAGGGGAGACGCAGTTTTATCCCGTGTTGATAGTAACCACTGTCCACCGGCCACGATTATCCTAACGCTAAAAAAACAAAAACAAATAGAAAATAAAATGGCCTTCTGAAAGAGTCAACCGAGATCATGAAGTGTCATTGACAAAAGGCCCGTCGTCTCTATCGAAGAAGAAGAAGACTGGACTTCCTTGTTTGAGACAGGTATCAGACAGAGGTCGAAGTCCACGCGAGTAACCGGCAAAAAAAGAACCACTCAAAACAAAAATCTGTGACTTATAAAAGCAAAACATACAAACATGCGGTAGCTTGAGGTGTTTGTTCTGTGAAACCAGTCAAAGGCAAACTCTCAGAGTAAACAAAATGGGATTTGAATGTATCCTTAAGCGGCGAGTCAGAGGAGCGGAAGAGATAAACAGGTTGGGCACAGGTGAACTGATCACGTGCCAACTGCTCCACATATGTCGTCATCACGTTGACTCCGTCTGGGAAGGATTAAGGTTAAAGTCTAAAGAACGCAGTGCTGCATACCTTATACCTTTATGTAAATATACAAACGATGTTCTATGTTTCCATTTACTTACATTTAGGGGCTAATACAATGTTATGGTAAATAAAGCAAAACTTTAAATCAACAAAATTAAGCATAGACTAAACACCATGGGTATGCAGGTTATATTTTACATCTCTGCTTTGGTGGTTTCATGTTATTAGAACAGATACAATCCATGTGCTGAGGTTGTTGAAAAACAAAGAAATATAGTCACTTTTTTTTTTTTTACATTATATGATAGTGCTCTTTGTACTGATCCTAAGTGAAATACCTGCAGTAAAACACAATCAGTTGAAATTGTGTGTTAAATGGTTTTTTTTTTTAGGGTAAGCTCAGCCTGATGAAAAAAGTGAAAGAGAGATTAGAAATACTTCAAATATTTTTTATGACTTGTTTATTTACGTTGAATCAGTCAATCATTTGACTTTTGAAGTGGTTATAAAATAGTTTAAATTTTAAACTGATGCCTAATTTTTCTCTTTTGGGGGTTGGCTTTATTTAGATGGGGCAGTGGATAGACCATGAAACCTGAGAGAGAGAGAGAGAGAGAGAGAGAGAGAGAGAGGGGAGTGATACTGTATGTGGGAAAGGAGCTGTAGGTTGGGCTCAAACCTGGGCCACCCGTTTCCAGGACCACAGCCTCCGTGGGACCTAACCACCCTCTTAATAGTTGCTTCAACTTAAGCGATGAGTGTTCATTTGTTTAAAAAAAAAGGAAAAAGAACGTTTTAGAAGCAACACTTTTTATTACTGCTCTCATTCTCTTCATGAAAAAAACAAATATCTCATTACAAAATAGAAAAATAGACAGTATTAAGTATTACAAACTATAAAACAAAAGCAGACAATTGTACAAGTATTTTGAACCGTGATGAAGCTTTAGAACTCTAAACTTACTCAGTACAGATTTTCATCGTAAGCAGTGACATTCAGAAAATTATTATTTTTTACTGCAAGATTTTTTTCTAGACATTCCTGCTCAATAAAAATAAAGCAATAAATTGAACTTTGAGTCATCTCCTCTGTCTTGGTTTATCAGACTTCTTTTAATATTTATAGAGGATAATTTAGTGAAGAGTTAATAAAGACTAACTGAAAGGACATTTGCCACTTCAACATTACTTTTCTATTTCTTCCTTTGTCTTCTTTATAATTGAGAAACTTAGTTATCATTTCCATTTGAATGGGCAGCCTCTGGGGTAGCTGTGACTAATACAGAAGCTAATTATGTTCTTTTAAAACCACAGATATACGTGTGACACTGGAGGTATCCAGAACGTCTGTGTCACCAAGTCGTCAGGCTTTAAGTCCCTTTTCTTCATGTCCTACCAGACTTGACAAGTTTTGATGACTTCTTTCATTTGTTTTATTGCATCTAAGGAGGAGTCCTTCAGTGCCAGTCCCAGTAAAACAGGCCTGTTACCGGCTGCTTGTGACACAAATGTTGCCAGGTTTTTGGCACAGACATGTGTCAGTGGCTGCAAATAGAAACACAAGTCAGATTATTACATTAAAAAACTCTGCAAGAAACATTCAACAAATCAACATAATCCACTTTTTATTCTTTTGGATAGAAATAAAATTAAGACCCTAGTAGTTAAATCTAAAATTCAAAACTGTAGCAGGACCTTAGAAAGAAAGTTATTTAAGCAGCACTATGTAACATATCTACTGAATTAAATCATTAAAGGGACTTTCTATATCATCAGACGTTAAGGAAACATGCTTTGTTGAAGTGCTGGCTTTTCCGACAACAACACAGCAGCCAGTATCTATGTTTCGCACTTCTAAGTTTCGCTTCCAGTCCAGAATGGTCTGCGTGTTTTCCCCGACCATTATATTAGGGGGCAGCAAAAATTAAAGATTAAAAACTTAAATTTTAAATATTTAAGTTCCAACTCATTTCAGGCCATTAGCAAAGTTTTCAGATAAGAATGTTCCACTTACAGTATTTAAGGTTATGTGGTACAGAGAAATAACTTCCCTTTTGCTGTTACAGAGCATTACTGATTTGCTCCACACAATAATGAAAATAGTTTTCATTATTGAGAAGTTCTGCCAGATTGAGCAGTATTTGATGGAGTAATTAATGACATGATTACATCTATATGAAAACCCTGATATGACTGTCGCAGGTGATTTGGCTGTCATTCAGTAAACTTGACGATAACAACCTGCTGTTGGCATAATACTTAATACTACTTCCTAATCACATTACATTAATGTAACCAATCATATTTTTATTCAGTCTGTTTGACCAAGTGAGTGATTGTTTTACTACTTCCCCACCCAAACATTAAAAAAACTAAAAGTACTGTGGTTTAAAAAAGAGCCAAATAGTGAAAATTAAATAACTATAAAACTTGCCAACACTACAATAATACACAATAAAAACCCATTTTACGTTTGATTAATTTTGTATGGTATGCCGGTTCTAAATTACACATTCATTCAGAGCTGAAATAGGTTTGCCTTGTATTGACTTGACATTACTGAACTTTGTGCCGGCACAGATCTTTTTATTTTTATTTGCAACAGCAAATCAGAGCCGATCTCATCTGCCTTTCACAGCGTGAAATTAGTTCCCCTGTGTCGTCGCCAGTCTGTCTGAAGTCCTGTGAGCAACTCCACACCACACTAATACAATATCTATCTGAGTAATTTCATCCAGTGTACCTCATCTTTGCCCAGCAGTACTTTGGTAGAGAACGATGGGGTGCTGATATCATTAGATCTGGAGTCAGGTGTGACCGATACCAATGTCCCAATTTTGCCATACTGAGTGACAACTATGAATATATAATTGCTGAACTCAGTGCAGACGACCTGTGTTGAAACTCCATTAACTTCTTTTTCTGTTCGTCTCGATCTGATAACAGGCTCAGGAGAAGACATTTTCTTATTCCTGGGGAAGAAAAAGAGACAGAAAATTACACTATTTAGTTCAAAGGCAAATCAGTATTGTTCATTCTGCTATTTTCATGATTTATCAATGATCTGATTATTAAGATAGTGATAAGGTGATATAATTCAGAAAGTAGTGAAAACACCTCAATATAATTTCTTAATTCTCAAAAGAAAATTGTTCAGTTTTCATTATTCTGTTTACACAAAGTCTGTTATGTGAATGCACCCTTCACTATGTCACTTTGGGATTTTATTTACAATTCATCTTTCTCACTTTGCTATACATGCAGACATATTTCAAGTGTGTCCTACCATCGACAGACCGTTTTTCAGATAGATTACTTTATTAACTTTAACCAGAGAAGTGAAGTATCAGCTCGACACAGTGACCACAGCAACCTGCAGTAGCTACGAAGCTAACGCTACTGTTAGCTTCGGCTGTACTCTTCAATGTTGACATAACAATGCCATTTTTTTTTTACCAGCGTCTATTTAAAATGACAAAAAAGCCCTCACCCTGCTGCTTCGTCTGTGCAAAGTGTAAACCTTTTTGCCGCACTGAGACAATACTCTTGGAGCAACTTCAGAAGCGCTCTGTCATTTACCCTCCTACAACATTAAATGTGCTTTGTTTCCTTGAACGTCTATGCGTCATCGCTCTTTGCGTGATGACGTCGTAGTACTAACCCAGTCTGACTTCCGGGTTATTTTGTATCTCAATCATGATCTCAATTCACAAAAAGAGAGGTTATGAAAATCATTCAGGATATTTAGTTTGAATTAGCTCATTCATGTTTTTGCAGTTTCCTTTCTTTCTATGTAAAGCACTTTGTGCTACATCATTGTATGAAAGTGGGATACAAATAAAATTTGATTGATTGATTGATACAGTACATGCAGTATATTTGTTACACATTACATGCATGCATTATTACATGTGTACTGCAGTTGTATAGAACTGTAGCAGTCAGTGTAAACAAAAGTGTTGAGAAAAAATAGAAAAAAACATTTTTCTAAGAAATCTTTTCCAGAGTTGACTGGTGTCACAAAAAATACCAAAACATTTTGACCAGTACAGCTCACACGATGACAAAACAACTTTTCATTTTGTTGGTATTGACCAACTTACTGACACAAAGACCAAACAAGAAAAAAATGTTTTGGGTGACATATGACCTTTGCATGCAACAGAGTGTTGATGTCCCTTTAAACAGTAGTGACAAACTTACAGTTTAGAGAATGTTAAGACTGTTTTTTTAAAAATGAGCTAAAAGAATTCAGAAGAACTGTAATAGTCTTTTTACCGTCTATGGTTCACAGCTATGGAGCAAGGGCTCATGGGATTGTTGATGTGCGGTTGGAGTGTGTTAATAGCAATGTAATCATTGTTTAGTTGTTGATTTTTGATAGTTGTGCATGTCTTCTGCCATTTTCACTGTGATGTGGGTTGTAAATCCAATTGAAGATCGTGAGAGTGGGAGCTGTTTCAGTAGACACATCTGGGTTGTCTTACGTGTGTATGACAACAAACCTGTGCTTCTTTCATGGATACAGACAGACAGGCGGACAGACAGACACAGACAGAAATAATGGTTGGTAGAGTCCCTGTATTTACCTGGGTTAATTGTTTTTAAGAAATATAACATGTTCTAGAGGGTCAGTACTCAGAAGAGTTTGAGTTGAAAATTCATTCTAACTATAATTAGTGGTTGAAGTGCACTTACTTTTTCAGAGCCTATACAATGGGCTTTATTTTACCCTTTTCTTTGTCACAAATGTACAGTACTTAAAAGATCTGTAGATCTGTATTTGAATAGCCTGAAGTTTGCCCACGACTAAAACACTTAGTTTCTGTCTTTGTATTTCTCATAATAATTATTCAAGGTTCCAGCATTGTTGACAATGAACGATTATACTTAATCTGCATAGTCGTTGCCCTAAAAATGACTGTGATGAAGTCAGGATGATTTGACTGAAAATTAATGAAAGTATTATCAGGGTGAATTATTTTGAATTCAAAATGTAGTCAATCTTCTGCCCTGGTACATTTCAATCAATATGAAGTTACAGAAGCAGCTCTTCCAAAGCAAGAAACCTACAGGAGCAAGATGTTTTTAATTAACTGTAAATGGAGCTTAAACTTTAGGAGCGGATAAAGTCTTACTTGCATTTCATCTCGTGCTTTTTTCTCACTTGAGGCAGTAAGTTTGAAGCAATGAATTAATTGTATTAATCCACAATTCATACCACCTTCTCAAAGAGAGATGTAAAAAAACATCATCATATAAATAACCTATCATGTTGATTGTTTAATTTTAACAACAGGTCTGAATAAAATATTATCCTGTGATAACCATGATAATAACCTGACATCTAAAAATGCATTCAAATACAATATGGAGGCTATAAGTAGGACTTTGTATATTGGGCAAATAATTGTCCAACAGCGTTCACACCTGCTTCAGAGGAAGCAAGCAGTTAAGGAATTTTCACTGTCAGCAAAAATGCCTGCGTGACACTTTTTTTTTTTTTTCTTCAGGTGGATGTGAGGCTCTACTGAAGTCTGCGAGTGCTGCATCAGACAGATCCGAAAGGAGCCATCTCTGTGAACATGACACATTCACAATGTCAAATGGAGCCGGCGCAGCGTGATTGTTATGCACTCTGAGTAGGCAGCAGTATGTATGAAATTGGTTGGACCACTCCCTCTAAACTTTGGCTGACCCTCTGTGTCCTTGACTGATCATTTTGATCCAAACAAAGTTTTCATGCAAATAACACTACACAATGTTTAAGAGTTGCTTATAGCGCTGTCGAATGGAGTGTTGTACCATCACAAAGTCCGCGAGGAAATACGGGGAAGTCATCTTTACAACATTAAAAAAATACATTGCCACATGAATTGAATCAAACCGACTAAACAAAGCAGCCTTAAATTAACATATCATTATGCTTTCTTTCCCATCAAAGTCCATGCCTCCAACAGAGGTGTGTTTTTTTTTCCAGTGGAGAAGTGTATTTTTTTGTCACTTCATGATCCTCTCTTAATTTATCATCAAAAATATTTTCAAGGTGACACGTTTTTTTTTAATTTAATAGTAAGTCTGACAACATTCAATCTGAAGCAGCAGTGAACAAAACAGTTTGACTTAAGGTCACAGCGAGATAATGGAGATCTTTAATTAATAATTACATCAGCCTGCTGTGACATGCGGCATGTTATTTAGTCTTAGCAGAAGACATTTCTGATGACCCACTTGGCACCTTTATAAATCATAGCCACACCGAAACAGCTTCATAGAAGTGTTGATGTGTTCATGAAGATATAATCCAGATTTGTTTGGCTCAATGGCCTAGCGATGTAGGCTACAATGATTCCCTTGCAGTAATTTCTATTTCATTTGAGTTACTTTTATTGGCTGCTCATGACATGGAACTTTTTGAATGGCGAATTGCAAGAATTAGAATAGCATAACTTGGAATTGGTTGGTAGTCACTATATCAAATCATGCCAAACATTTGGGGGTGACTTTGGCTCAGTTGGTAGAGTCGTCGTCTCTCAACCAGAAGGTCGAGGGTTTGATCCCCAACTCAAGCAGCAACATGTCTGATGTGTCCTTGGGCAAGACAACTTAACCCCAAATTGCTCCAGCTGCTTTGTTGGCGGTGTATGAGTTACTTCTGATGGTCTCGCTACATTTCAACCTCTGCTATCATTGAGGTGTGACATGCAGTGTAAAAGCGCTTTGGGTGGTCAAAAGAACTGAAAAAGCGCTATACAAGCTCAAGTCCATTTACCATTTGTGTTCGCCTAGCACTCTACTGCTATGTATCACGGTTTGAGGACTTTTGTCTGCACCTACTGATACAGCTCCTCTGCAATTGAACATAAACTGAGAAGTTTTTGCACTTGTTCTCATTTGTTCTGGCAAAGCAATGAATTTGCTGTTCAGGATCTAACTATCTTCTTAAGAGCAGCTTTACAACACAGGTCGTGGGTTTTGTAAATAGAAAATACCAGTAAGACTTTGTAATTTATTCTTTTTTTTCACATTACTCATTCCATGGAATATTTCTTGGTGATCTATGAATGCCTTGCTTTGCATAATGCAATACTGTAGACACACACTAATAATTGCAGTGGCTGTTTAAAAGGTTTATAGGGTCCTTGAGGTGTTTCTGGGAAAAATTAGGAGAGGTTTGTTTATGTACATGTGATTCATCATGTGATGATAATGCAGGCTGAGGATATTTATATGACTGTCTTTTTATTTGTGTGGAAACTTTCTTTGTTCCAACCGTTTACCAAATCATCCACCCTGTTAACAATAGCTTTGCATCCACAGTAAAAAATGCTTTGGAGAGCTTTGATATTAGCATCTTGGGATTCTTTACTGAAAGATGAATTTTAGACATTGCGTGTGTGAATTAAAAAAAAAAAATAGTTCATGAACATGAACTTCGGGTGAAATGTCAAACTTCTGAACCAGGTATATGTTGAAGCGGTTTTGGAGGACACCCTGGAGAGAGGTTTGTTTTGTCGTATTTCTTTGGGCTATAAAAATGCTACACACTCCAACTGTATCCCAAAAGTTGAGCGTTGATGTGACGCAGAGAAAAAAGAAAGTTTTAACTGTCACAGATTTCCAAAAGAGTTGCTGGTGCTTAAAGGTTCTCCATTTCACAAACACATCCCATCTCTGTCTGTATGACTAGTCAAGCATTTTCTCAGTCTCTGTCTGCAGACTCTGTGTCAAAGATGAAAATATCTTATTTGCTGGATGAAGCACTTCCAGCCCATCACCGTCCTGCTTTTTCATTTTCACATTCTGATTGCTGCATGTTTGTCTCATCAAGTCTCTTTGGTACTACAGCTGAATACATATCACAGAGGGTCATTTTTCTCTCTTTAAACTTTTGATCTGTTAGTCCATCTGTGATTGATATTTTCCCTCCACCCCGCCCTGTAACATCAGAGAAGCTTACAGCGGTTGAGAAGGTCATGAAGGCACCTTCATGCCTCAGTATATTTCACCTCACACTCACACACAAACACACACAATCATTACCCCTGTGGCCACTAGAGTGCTGTGCTGTATTACAGATACAGACTTTACCATGACATTTGAAAGTTGCAGACAAGCCGCGTGGGATTAACCACTGGGGCTAGTTTCTGGGAAGTGTTTCTTTTTTTTTTAATAGAAGCACAGACAAACCAAAGGGGGAAAAAAAACAACATGTTCAAGGCATTTGTTAGAAAGCCTTAACTGACTGTGATTTGTCTCTTCTGCCCTGCAGACCACCAGAGAGAAGTATTATTTTGTTTTTTAGTAATGGTTTATGGAGTTAGATTAAATAAATGACAAGAGAACTTTCTGGTTTCAAAGTGAAGAGCAGATACATCTCTGCCCTTTAAAATCTCATGCTTCACCATTCTCCCTTTTACTTCTTTTCTATCCTCACAATAAGACATTAAAACAAGCAGCACAAGTCATGTCCACGCCCATAAAAAGCTGCTCTATTCTGCCATATTTCATTAAAGAGGTGATTATTCCTGTGTCACAAAAGCATCAGTTTGTCTGTTGGCTTGAATAAGTTGGGACTGACAGAAAGCTGATAAAAAAAATGTTCTGAAAAAA